TATCCTGTTACTGATGTGGAAAGGAAAGTGGAAGTATTTGGGTTTCTGCACAAATGTGGGAGATTCATAAGAAGCTCCTCACTCCTGGCTTCAGCCCAAAACAGGCTTGTTGCAAGCCATCTGGGAAATCAGCCAGCAGACGGCAGACCTCTCTCCTCATCTCTGCCTCTCTCTCTGTAACTCTGATTTTCAAATAAATCAATAATTTAAAAAAAAAGAATAAGGGATGAATATTTTAAAAGTTTGTAATGCTGAAAATTTGAGCTATAATCTCTGCAATTTTGGAACAAAACAGAAGAATTTGGTTCTATGGGAATTGGAATGGCTCTGCCAGAGATCAAGGAAATCAGTATAACTATCTGATTTGAACTTTTTAATAAAGATTTTTTTTTTTATTGCAAAGTCAGATATATAGAGAGGAGGAGAGACAGAGAGGAAGATCTTCCAGCCACTGATTCACTCTCCAAGTGACCGCAATGACCGGGGCTGCATCAATCCAAGCCAGGAGTCCAGATCTTCTTCCAGGTCTCCCATGCAGCGGCAGGGACCCACGGCTTTGGGCCGTTCTCAACTGCTTTCCCAGGCCACAAGCAGGGAGCTGGATGGGAAGCGGGGCTGCCGGGATTAGTATTGACGGCCATATGGGATCCTAGCACATGCAAGGTGAGGACTTTAGCCACTAGGCCACTGCATTGGGCCCAACTTTTTTTTAAGAACCCTCTCTGACATCATCTGATTACAACATCTGCTCTTGTGCTGTAGCTTCCTGGTTCTTCAGATGGGAATTATCTACAGAAGCCTCTTTGGGCAGTGACCTTGGCAGTAACCTTGCAAGTTGAGTAGGATTTCCTCACAGTCCGGGGAGAATCTGAAATGCCCTTCCCATTTTCCCATGAGTAAACACAGTTCCTCTATTCTGTCGTGTTTTTAATATTTCTCTGTGTTGTTAAAGTGGTTATTCTGTTTTTTGAAATGGTACATTGGGGGGCCAGCGTGAAGGCAGAGCAGCATCCCATAAGGGTGTCGATTCTAGTCCCAGTTGCTCCACTTTTGATCCAGTTCCCTACTACTGAGCCTGAGAAAGCAGCAGAAATGGCCCAAGGACTTGGGCTGCTACACCCATGTGGGAGACCCAAAAGATGGGCCAGGCTCCTGGCTTCAGCCTTGCCCTGCCTCAGCTGTTACAGCCACCTGGGGCGTGAAATGGCAGACGGAAGACTTTCTCTCTGTATGTAACTCTGACTTGCAAATAAATAAGTGAATCTTAAAAACGAAAGAAGTAATAAAGTGTGCACCCTTGTAAAGAAACATAGAGACAAGACGGTGATCACATGAAACACACTCGGCAGATGCAACCACTCCTTAGAGTTTGCTTGTATGTCCTTACGCTTTTAAAAAAAAAACATAAGCATAATTTCATGTATTATTATTTGTTTTTTATTCAGATGTTATTCACATATCACTAAAAAGTTCTCATTTCAAGAAGTAAAATTCAGTATAGATTTTTAAAGTAATTAATTGATTTGAAAGGCAGAGTGACAGAAAAATCTTTCACCTATTGGTTCACTCCCCAAATGCCTGCAATAGCCAGGGCTGAGGCCAGGAGCCTAGAACTCCATCCTGGTCTCCCTGGTCTCCCACGTGGAGTCAGGGTTTCAAACAACGGTGCCATCAGCTTCTGTCTGTCTCCCTGACACTTTAACAGGAAACTGGCGAGGGAGTGGAGAAGCTGCCGCCTTGATCTCAGGCTCTCCGACATGGGAAGCCAGAGTCCCCAGCTGTGGCTCCATCTGCTCTGTTCTAAGGCCCACCCCAGTGGCTATTAATATGATCATGAATTGTGAAATCACCACCACTACATAACCCCACAACATTTCATCACTCCAAAATGAAACCCGAGACTCCAAAAATACTCACTGTCCATTCCTTATTCTCCCATTCCTGGTACTCACTAATCTACTTTCTTTTTCCTTTCTCATTTCAAAAAGGGTTTACTTATTCATTCCAAAGACTCAGAGAGAGGGAAAGAGATGATTTTTGGTGACTAGCTTCTTTTATGTAGCATAATTCTTTTTCTTTTTCTTTTTAAGTCTTATTTATTTTTATTGGAAAGAAGAGACAGAATTTATTCAACTCACTGGTTCACTCCCTGAGTAGCTGCACAATGGCCAGAGCTGAGTCGATCTGAAGCTGGGAGTCAAGAGCTTCCTCCGGGTCTCCCATGTGGGTGCAGGGTCCCAAAGCTTTGGGCCGTCCTCCACTGCTTTCCCAGACCACAGGCAGGGAGCTGGAAGGGAAGTGGAGCAGCTGGGATACAAACTGGCACCCATGAGGGATCTCGGTGCATGCAAGGCAAGGATTTAATCACTGAGCAATCATGTCAGGCCTTCATATAGAATTGTTTCAAGATATATCCATATTACAGCATGAACAAGTACCCTATTCCTTTTGTTTATTTGTTTTATTATTCATTTATTTTTAAAGGAAAAGCAAAGCGGATTTACGAAGAGAAGGCGAGACATAGAGAAAGACCTTCCATTCCTCCAGCAACTGTTTAAACCCTATGCTCTTTCAACAGTTAGGACATTTGCCCTTTTATTAGTAAATTATAAGAATTTAAAAATATGTATTCTGAATCCCTTTTCAGAGATATGAGAGGCAAATGTTTTCTTCTATTCTTGGATTTCGTTTGTTATTGTTTGGAACCCAAATGGAGGAGCTGATGTGGTGGCTCAACAGGCTAATCCTCTTCGTATAGTGCCAACATCTCATATGGGGGCTGGTTTGAACTCAATTTCCATTATAAGCTCTTCTGCTAATGCTCTGGGAAAACAGCAGAGGATGTCCCAAAGCCTTGGATCCCTGCATCCATGGCGGGAGACCTGGAAGAAGCTCCTGGTTCCCGGCTTTGGGTCAGCCTAGTACTGCATGTTATGGCCATTTGGGGAGGCCTGGTCCCCAGGTGGTGTGCTGGTGAGAGACAACAAGGATGGCTGGCAGGTTGAACTGAGGCAGCAGCAGGCACCATGGGATGATGTGAAAATACAAGGCGGCACAGGAAGTGTCTTTAAGCTGCTCACACTTCCTCTCTGAGCCCATGCGGTTTCACAACCCCTTCAGGCACCCCCCTGCCGCCCCGACGGCACCCAGTGTCACCCGGTCTGGTGCCTCTGTGAGAAACTCCCATTGCCCTGAGGCCCCGGGCCGCTATCATTTCCCTCTTTCATTCCCTCTAGGCTACACCAAGTCCCAAGGGCCCTCAGACTGCCCGTGGGCCCATGGCCCCCTGCAGCCGCTGGAGGATGAAGCGATCTCACACCATCTTCCTAACGAGGCTCGTGTTGTCCGGGTTGCTTCTCTGGGGTAGGTAAGAGGGCAGGGCAGGGGATATGCCCTGGTGACAGAGGAGACTGCTGAAGCTACCCTGAACCTGGGACCAGCTGTGGACAGAGAGGGAGCGAGGAAGGGAAGAGAAAGACAAAGAAGGCCAGAGCCCACTGCATAGGCAGTTGGTGGGGGAAAAGGGAGATGGGGAAGCCTGGGGCAGGTGGTGGAGGCCGCTGGAGCTGGGCGGAGAACGCAGGCTCTGGTCTGTAGCAGCTTTGACCGCGAGGCTCCCTGAGCACGCTTCTGCTCTCACTTCTTCACCTCAACAAGTGCATTGGCCAGCAGCCCTATCATCCCTGGATGCTGTGACCCAACCCCCGGGCCTGGGAGGAATTTGGGACACAGGGAAAGATAGTTTAAGGTGGGCCATGCTGCCCAGGCTCTTGGGAGTGGGGGAGTGGAGAGTTTGTGATTCTAGGTGGAGGGGGGAAGTGGAGACTGGACCCCCTGACCCGCTGGTCCCTGGCCGGATGCAGAGCAGGGGGAGCTTCCGGTGAGAGCCGGTAGCCTGACAGGAGCCAGGGGAGCTAACCCACAGGGTCTGTGGGAGGAAGCCTGAGGCTGCCCACTTGGGTTCCCCGGTGGGCGCCGTGGTCCTGACAAGGGGAGGAACCTGTGCAGGGGGAGCGCAGCCCTGTCCCTGGGGCGTCCCCGTTCTAGTCCCTGCCTGGGCTCCGAGTTACACCTCTACCCCCACCCCACCCGGGCTCCTTGGGCTCTCTGCTCCCACTGCATCCTGCCTTTTGCCAAAGAGGTCAAACCGAAAGTTGTGTCACCGAAAGTTGGGTCCTCAGACCACGGAGGAAGCTGGCCTTGGCTCTGGGGACTGGTGGGGGGCAGCAAGTCCTGACTTTTATGTTCCCCAAGGTCAAAGTCCTGTGAGGGGGGAGGTTGGCATCCATGGGCCACTGAGGGGGTTGACAGCAACAGCGGGAGCTTAGGGGATCCCTGGGGGTGCTGGAAGCCTGACGCCTCCTCTCCTCCCACAGTGCCGGCCACTGGCTACAACTTGGAGGTACGAGGCGCCCAGAGCTTCTCCTTTCCGCCGGCAGGGAGGCACTTTGGCTACCGTGTGCTGCAGGTCGGAGACAGGTGAGCTGCGACCCTGTTCCCGCCAGGCCCTCCTGGGGGCACAGGCTGCCTGTGGGACAGCTCAGGAAAGGCCCAGCAGCCTGGGAAGTGGGGGGGCAAGGCCTCTGCGATCCCGAGCTGTCACACCCCCTTAAGTGTCTGCATCCTGTCCTGTGCCCCCTTTTACGTATAAGTTTATTATTCTTACTTAAAACAAAAGCAACGGGTTTACTTTTTTTTTTTTTTCAAAAGCAGAGGGTTAGAGTTAAGGTTGTGGGGTAGGTCAGTAAAGCCACCACCTGTAGCACTGGCATCCCCAATGGGCCCCAGTTCGAGTCCCAGCTGCTGTGCTTCCAGTCTAGCACCCTGAATATGCACGTGGGAAAGCAGCAGAGGTTGGCTCAAGGGCTTTGGCTCCCACGCTCAGGTGGGAGACCGGGAGGAAGCTTCTGGCTTTGGGTGGGTACAGTTCCCACCATTGCAATTTTTTTGAATCAACAAGCAGAAGAAAGACTTCATGTGTTTGTGTGTGTGTGTGTGTGTGTGTGTGTGTGTGTGTGTGTGTGTAACTTTGCCTTTCAAATAAGTAAGGGAAAAGAAAAACAGGGACAGAGATCTGTTGACAAACTGATGAATTAGTTCACTCCTCAAATTCCCACAACAGGTCTCCAGGTGGGTGGCAGGGACCCAGTCCCCAAGCCTTCCCCTGCTGCCTCCCTGGGTGCGCCTGAGCAGGGAGCCCTGCTGGTGCTGGACTCATGGCTGTGGGCATTCCCGGGTGCCATCATAGCACTGGTACCAGGAGCCTCCTCCCCCACCTCAAATGTTCTGGAGGCAGATTTGGGAACTGGGAGTCCTTGTCCCCCCATCTTCCTGAAGGAGAGCAGCTGAGGGCCCTGAGACACCTAACCCAGGGTGGACTTGGGGTCAGTTCGTGGACACCCCTGTGTAAGGAAAGAGTGGGTGCACAAAGAATTGCTGCTCCTCAGTGGACAGATTTCTCACTTAGGGTTGTCGTGGGCGCTCCGGGCGAGGGGAACAGCACAGGAAGCCTCTACGAGTGCCAGCCGGGCACTGGACACTGCCTGCCAGTCAGCCTGGGTGGTGAGTAGCTGGCGAGGAGGCCTGGGCCGTGAAGTTTCTGGGGGGGGGGGTTCAAGGCCAGCCTCCACAACACTGTCTGTGATTCTTCCTTTGCCCACAGGTTCCAACTACACCTCCAAGTACTTGGGGATGACTTTGGCGACAGACCCCACAGCTGGAGACCTGTTGGTAAGGATTGTGTCGGGGGCTGATGGTACTGGCACCTGCGAAGCTGAATGCAGGAAAGATGGACAGAAAGGGCAAGGATCAAATGGAGTTGGAGTATTTATTGAGAAACAACTGCGAGCCAGCAAATTTTACTTTTTTTTTTGTTTTTCTCAAGAGTGATGTATTTATTTGAAAGGCAGATTTACAGAGAGAGAAAAGGAGAAAGAGAAAACTCTTCCATCCTCTGGTTCACTTATCAAATGGCCATAATGGCTGGAGCTGAGCTTGTCTGAAGCCAGGAGCTTCTTCTGGGTGTGCTACAGGATGCAGGGCCCCCAGGCTCTTGGGCCATCCTCTGCTGCTTTCCCAGGCAATCAGCAGGAAGCTGGTTTGGAAGTGGAACAGCCAGGACTGTATGGGATGCCAGCACTGCAGGAGGTGGCTTTGCCTGCTGTACACCACAGTGCAGGTTTCAGTTATTACTATTTTTGTTTTAAAGATGTAGTTATTTGGGCCCGGCGCGGTAGCCTAATGACTAAGTCCTTGCCTTGCATGCCCTGGGATCACATCTGGGTGCTCGTTCGTATCCCAGCTGCTCCATTTGCCTTCCAGCTCCCTGCTTGTGGCCTGGGAAAGCAGTGGAGGATGGCCCAAAGCTTTGGGACCCTGCACCTGCATGGGAGACCCTGAGAAAGCTCCTGGCTTCAGATTGGCTCAGCTCTGGCCATTGGCGGTCCTTGGGGAGTGAACCAGTGGATGGAAGATCTTGTGTCTCCTTCTCTCTGTAAATCTGACTTTCCAATAAAAACAATCTTAAAAAAGAAAAAAAAAGATTTAGTTATTTATATGAAAGAGCTGGATAGAAAGAGAGAGAAGGAGAGAGAGAGAGAGAGATTTCATCCACTGGTTTATTCCCCAAACGACTGCATCAGCCAGATCTGGACCAGGCTAAAACTGAAAGCCAGGAATTCCATCTTGATCTCCCCACGTCAGTGGCAGGAATCCAGACGCTTGGATTAGCCTTCCCTGTCTTCCCAGCTATATCAGCAAGATGCTAGATTGAAAGCAGAGTCATCAGGACTCAACCAGACCCTCTTGAATGGGCTATGGCATCACAAGCTTTACCATGCCTAGGTCACAGCACCAGCCCTTAGGGTAAGGCCCAGGTCAGATTCCCCCAGTGATTTATTCCCATTGATCTCTTGTGTATCCCAGCCAGCATCCTCTGACGTAGCTGGGTGAGAGCTAGAAGAGCAACTGAGTGGAACTCTGACCCAGGGTTGAACTAGAGCTTCTTTACTTAGCTACCCTTGCGGGTCAGGCCTGACACTGTGTTCTGATGGGGGGAGGGGAGTGCAATCCAATAGCATTGACTGGCAAGACGTGACAATTAGAAATGCCCAGAGGTGCTGCATCACAGGGAAGCCTCTGCTGTGATAAACAGTGGAGACTTGGGGTCTGATCGGTTCATTTGTGTGTGGCAGTGGGTACTGTTGAATCCAATGACTGACTTGGGCCTTAAGACAGAAACACTTGGTCCTAGACCCACGCCATCTATTTCTCTGATGGGTTTTGAGTAAAGTTATTTCCCTGTCTTTAGCAAAAGCAGGTACCACCTCTGGAAGTGAAGCACAGGCCCAACCATAAATAAAAGGAGTGCCAAGTGAGCCCTGAGTGTTGGTAGAATGGATGCAGGGATGGATGGCAGGGCCAGGGTGGGGACAAAATTGCCTTGCTTTGCACATTGGGCAGTGGAGAAAAGGGACATGGTCTGGGAAGGTTCTTACCCTTGGTGACGGTGTCCAGGGGACAGCAGCAAGAGGAACCCCCGGGCCTTTTGCTTTGCCTTCTTCAGGTCTGTGACCCTGGGCTGTCTCGGACATGTGACCAGAACACCTATCTGAGCGGGCTGTGCTACCTCTTCAACCAGCCTCTGAGAAGTCCTGTCCTGCAAGGGCGCCCAGGCTATCAGGGTAAGGAACTGGCAACTGGCTGTTTCTGTCTGATCTTGGCAGCTGCGTCCAGAGGTGGGAAGACAAGGTAGAGCTTCTGGTTGCCACTTCACTCCTCCAATGCCCACTGCAGCAGTAGCACTGGGCTAGGCGGAGGGCTGACGCTGGGAGCCAGGAGATCGAGTCATGTTTCCACGTGGAGGTACCAGGGACCCGATGACAGGAGCAACCACCTGCTGCCTCCCAGGAAGCTGGAGCTGGGAGATGGAACTGGGAACAGAGGGAAGAATCGAACCTGAGCATTCCACAGTGAGACATGTGTGTCTTAACCACTAGGCCAAATGCCTACCCAGATGGTGCTGAGTTTTAACAGTTAAAATACCACCAAACAGCTGCCTTTCATGGGTGCGGCAGCAGCTGGCTGGTCTCACCAGACACCTTCTGCATGCCTCTGCAGAGTGCATAAAGGGCAACGTGGACCTCGTCTTCCTGTTTGATGGCTCACTCAGTTTACAGCAAAATGAATTCCAGAAGATTCTGGATTTCATGAAGGATGTGATGAGGAAACTCGGCAACTCTTCCTACCAGGTGAGTACACGAGTTGAGAGTGTCTGTTGTGGGCCACAGGTCTTTGCTTAACCTGACTGGAGCCAGAAAAAGAACTTGTCCAAGGAGGTCTCTCTAGGTCCCAGGGTGAGGTTGTAAATGGACCCCGGAAAGGAGCAAGCTCTAGGAAGTAGACGGCTCCTAGCATCCTCCTTGGTTCTCATTTCAGTTTCTGTTTCTGCTTTGGTTGACCACGTTGTATTACTCTATGAGCTGGATCCATGGGCTAGCCAAGCTCACGGGTCCTTGTGGATAGCTCCCAAATTCACATGGAGATTTCCTGAATATTTATTTTTCTCTTGGTGTTTGTTTTATGTTTATTTGAGAACCAGGGACAAGATATCTCCTGGTTCACTCCCCAAATGGCCACTGTGGCTGGGGCTTGGCCAGGCAAAAGGCAGGAGCCCAGAACTCTAGTCTGTGTCCCATGTGGTTAGCAGGGTCCCAAGCACCTGAACCTTTTTCGCCGTCCTTTCCCGGGTGCATTAGCAGTTATGTGGATGAGAAGTAGAGTGGCGGGGACTTGAACCAACACTCACGTGAGATGCCAGCATTACAGGTGGAGGCTAAACCCAGTATATCACAAGGCTGGCCTGTTTGTTTTGCTTAACCTTCTGCTGGGTCAAGCCTTCTACCTGCAGACTTCAAATTCTCAGAGAAGAGCTTCTGAGTGGCCTGGCCTCAGGTGGCTGTTCCCGGCCCATACACCTGTGTCAGGTTAACTAGGGTCAGTTGACCCTAAGATGGCTACTGTGAGCCACTCCCCTTCGTCCCTGATGAGGCAGGAAGAAGCTCAGAAGACAGAGGTTTATTTCACTGAATGTCTGTGTTTATTTCATATTACCTCCTTGTCAGAAGAGTGATTGGATGCGTGGATGTGGAGTGAGTCATGTGGGTCCTGTATGAAAAGGAAAGGTGGGGAGGGTCAGGTGTGCAACCAAAGCTGAAGATGCCAGTGAAGGCACCCACACCCACAGGGAATCCTTGGGTTTGTTCCCTGGTTCCTGCACCTGCACCCAGCTTCCTGCCAAGGCAGATAGTAGGGAAACCATGGGGATGGCCCAGATGCTTGGCTTCCTGCTTCCCCTGTGTCAGATCCAGCTCCCACCCTCAGGCCCTGCCAGGACCAAACTGAGCATGAAGAAGTGAACTGCAAGATGGATGGGAACTCTGTCTCTGTTGCTTTGCTTTTTAAAGAAGTAAAGTTTTAAAAGGAAGAAGGGGAGGGACTGGCACCATGGCATAGAAAGCTAAACCTCTGCCTGAAGCATCATTATCCCATCTAGACACTGGTTTGTGTCCCAGCTACTCCACTTCCCATCCAGCTCCCTGCTAATGGACTGAGAAAGAAGCAGAAGAAGACCCAAGTCCTTGAGCTCCTGCACCAACATGGGAGACCCAGAAGAAGCTCCTGGTTCTTGGCTTCAGATCGCCACGGCTCTGAATATTGTGGTCACTTGAGGAATAAACCAGCGGATGGAATATCTCTCTTTGTGTCTCTTCTTCTCTCTGTAAATCTAGTTTTGTAGTACAGATAAGTGTATCTTTCTCTCTTTTTAAAAGATTTATTTGTTTTCATTGGAAAATAAGATTTACAGAGAGAAGGAGAAACAGAGAGAAAGATCTTCCATCTGCTGGTTTACTTCCCAGGTCGTTGCAATGAGCGGAGCTGAACCAATCCGAAACCAGGAGCCAGGAGCCTCCCCCAGGTCTCCCATGCTGTTGCAGGGTTCCAAGGCTTTGGGCCATCCTCTACTGTTTTCTCTGGCCACAAGCAGTGAGCTGGAAGGGAAGTGGAGCAGCCGGGATATGAACCGGTGGCACACACAAGGTGATGACTTTAGTCTCCAGGCTACCACACTGAAGCAAAATAAATACATCTCTAAAAAAAAAAAAAAAAATGGGGTAGAAGGAGAGATTGGATTAGACAAACAAGAAGAAGAGATCCACTGCCCGTCCTTTCTCTCTTTGTTTTCTAGTTTGCTGCTGTTCAGTTTTCTTCGGACTATAAAACAGAATTTACTTTCCTGGATTATGTTCGAGAGAAGGACCCTGACATACTGCTGGCCAACGTAAAGCACATGCAGCTGCTAACCAACACCTTCGGGGCCATCACCTATGTCGCGTGAGTTCCCGTGGTGTGCGCATCCACCTGTCCTGTGTGAGCCGGTATCCTCCAACTGCGTGGCATGGGGACGCAACAGGCCGGTAGGGAAAGGGGTGCGTTATGGTGTGGACACAGGGGAAGCCATTTTAATCCAGACGATCGCAGTGCCGAGCCTCAGAAATCTGCCCTGTGGTGACTCCATTCAGAGGAGAGATTCAGCAGTGGCTACCGGGAGAGCTCCCCGGGGTAGGGCTTACTGCCAAGTCACGAGGCGGGGATGGAGAAAGTTCTAAAATCAAGACTTGGCAAGTAAGTGTGAACCCCGGCAGCTCAAGCTAGACTCACGCCCTGACTGAGGATCAGCTTTGGAACTCAGATTTGAAACAAAATGGCCAAAAATTCTCCTTGAGAATTTTCTCCTTAAACTGTTCATGATGCTTGAGTCCCACGTTGGGAAACCTAATCTGCAATATAGAATTTAGGTTTAGTCCTGGGTGGACCGGCTAGATGCTGTCGAGAGGGTGTAGTGTGTTCTAAAATTGTCTCCTTTAAACATTAGAGGAACTTGAGATCAAGCTGGGGAGGGAGAGGGCTTGCATCTCTCACCGTGGGACCCTCCTGGGCTTACCGTCCTGCCGAGTGGCGTGGTGGGAGGAAGCTTTTGCATCGTTGCACTTGGTCTTCTTGCTGCGAGTCTTCACCTTGTGTCGCAAGCTGGCACCGACACATGTGCACTTCAGCACACCAGAGCCCAGCGCTTCCCCTCCCAGGCTCCTTTGGTGGCTCATGTCCATGTTGTACCATTGCTGTCGAAGGCCTAGCCGGGGGTGTGGTCAGGCTACCTCTGCTCTGCAAATGGCAGCCTCAGTCCAGCTGAACAGTTTTTGGGAAATTCTTTTTTTTTTTTAATTTTTGAAAAAAGATTTTATTTTTATTGCAAAGTCAGATATGCAGAGAGGAGAGGCAGAGAGGAAGATCTTCTGTCTGATGATTCACTCCCCAAGTCACCGCAATGGTCAGAGCTGAGCCGATCCAAAGCCAGGAACCAGGAGTTTCCTTCAGGTCCCCCACGCGGGTGCAGGGTCCCCAGGCTTTGGGCTGTCTTCAACTGCTTTCCCAGGCCACACGCAGGGAGCTGGATGGGAAGTGGGGCGGCTGGGATTAGAACCGGCGCCCATATGGGATTCTGGCATGTTCAAGGCGAGGACTTTAGCAGCTAGGCCATGCCAGGCCCGGTAGATAAATTCTAATCAGCCAGGTCTAGGTTAGATGTCCAGGGGTCCCCCAGCACGAAGCTGGCGCTATCTTGTCATGGGGGTTTCATGGCACAGAGGCGGATTCTGGAGCCGCCTTCTGTGGGAGTCTTAGAAAAAGTCCTCCTCGGGCTTGTTTTAACTATTTATTTATTTTCATCTACTTGGAAGGCAGAAGGACAAAGAAAGAGATAATGGAATGCCAGCATCTCATGCAGTGACTTAATCCACTGTACCCCCAAGATCCGCCCGCTTCCCTGGGTTCTTAGAGAAAGCAGTCCCCCCAGGCTGAGAGCGACACCCTAAAAGGTGTTCGTGCTGGGAACAAAAGTATGTGGGAGCGAACATCATAGATACTCGCTGGGCACCTGGCTTCGGGCTTTTTTCTAGATCAGGAGATAGCAGTTGCTTCCCCAAAGGGCCAGCTGGTCAGTGGTTCAGGCTTCCTTGGGCACATATCATTTTTGTTGCATATCCTTCTTTGATGCATTTCAGAATTGTTGAAAAATAGAAAAATTATTCCTAACTGGTCTCTGGGAAGTAGCTGGCCGCACTCTAGGTACTGAGAATGCAATAGTGAATGAGACAGAAAAATCTCTGTGCACCGGGAGCCCCAGGCCGAAACCAGGAGCCAGAAGCTCCATCCTGGTCTCCCACGTGGGTGGTAGGAACTCAAGGACCTGGGTCATCCTTCACTGCTTTCTCAGGCACATCAGCAGGCAGCTGGATCAGCAGAGTAGCTGGAACTCAGACTAGGCAGTCCTGATGTGGGCTACAGATGTCCCTACGTGGGGAAGCTTCACCTGCTACACCACAACACCCAGCCAAAAAAAAAAAGCTACGTTCGAACAGCATCTTGTCTGTGAGATTGGGAAGCTGTGCCTGTGCTCAGGGGTGGCTTTCCAGGCAGGGGGGAATAGGAAAGACCCAGGAGCCTGGACAGAGAGCAGTGTGAGGGGAGAAAGGAGGTTCCATGATCAGTGGACCTTGGGGTTCTTCGTGAGGAGCCTCTGGCTTCTGAGCACAGGAATTAAAAAAGAAAAACAAAACAAAACAAACAAAAACTCTCTGGCTGCAGGGCTGGTATTGGACGACGGAGGGTGCCAAGGAGGCAGCAGAGGGGCCCGGAAGAGGGGCAGTGCCAGGGCTTGCACCACTGGGAGTGGAGGGTTGTGGCAGGGAGCTCCAGCAGCAGGACCACAGCAGGCACATGTCCATGTGCCCAGAAGCTTGAGGGACAGCGGGTACTCAGGGCAGAGCCATAGATTAGAGGCTTTGCACAAAGCCAGCTGCTGTGCCCACAAGAGCTGTGTACTGCTTGGGACCAAGATTGTGGCACAGCTGGTTAAGCAATTGCTTGTGATGCCAGCATCCTCTAGCAGTATGATTCTAGTCCTGGCTGCTCAAATCCAGCTCTCTGCTAATGTGCCTGGGAAAGCAAGGGAGGATGGTGCTTCAGTTCCCACTACCCGTGTGGGTGACCCAGATGGAGCTCCTGGCTCCTGGCTTTGGCCCCGACTGTTGTGACCATTTGGGAAGTAACCCAGCTGATGGAAAATTTTCCTTTTCCTTTTCTCCTTGACACTTTGCCTTTCAAATAAGATAATAATAATAACTGTTTAATAAAAATAATTAAGAAAATGATGAACCTCAGCCCTGGCTTTGGGAAGTCACACATCTTCTCTTCCTGGACACAGGAAACATGTGTTTCAGCCAGAGTTGGGGGCCCGGCCAGATGCCACCAAAGTCCTCATCATCATTACCGATGGGGAGGCCACTGACGGCGGCAGCATCGACGCAGCCCAGGACATCATCCGCTACATCATCGGGGTACGGGCCCAGGCTGCACTGCGTCTTACATCTCATTTTCCCCTCCTATTCTTGAACCCCCAAGATCTTCTCTCTCTGGGGTTGAGTCTTAAAAGAAATTCACTGAAAACTGGCAGGAGGTCAGTGGGCCACCAGTTAACGCTGCGCACTCCCTCACAGATCGGAAAGTTTTTCCAGACCAAGGAGAGCCAGGAGGCGCTCCACAAGTTCGCCTCCAAGCCCACAGAAGAGTTTGTGAAGATTCTGGACACATTTGAGAAGCTCCAGGATCTGTTCACGGAGCTGCAGAGGAAGATCTATGCCATTGAGGGTGAGTGGTCAGCCTGGCATGGGGACCACGAGGCTGTACTCAAATGCCCACCCTGGGAGCAAGGCCCTCACCTCACAGCACCCACCTTTGGGTCCTGCCTCTGACTCCGGACCCCAGCTTCCTGTTAAGGTGGATTTGGGGGAGAGGGCGCACAAGCGGTGATGGTGCCTGGGATCCAACCACCCTTATGGGAGACCTGGGTTGAGTTCCTGGCTCCTAGCTACAGCCATTTGGGATGTGAACTGGTTCGTGGAAGTAGACACCTCCTTCCCACACCCTCCAGCCAAACACTCACCTAGGACACGCTAATCATCATCATCATCATCATCACTGGGACAGGCTTATGGTACAGTGGGCTAAACTGCCACTTGGGATACCTACACACCATATTGGAGTGCTAGTTTGAATCCCCTCTGTTGTGCTTCTTAATCCATCTTCCTGCTAAGGTGCCTGGGAAATAGGGCATGATGACTCAAGTGGTTGAGTTTCTGCCACCCTCTTGGGAGACTAAGGTGAAGTTTCTAGTTCCTGGCTTTGGTGTAGCCCAGTCTTGACAGCTGCATGCATCAGAGAAGTGAATCAGAGGATGGAACGTGTGTGTGTGTGTGTGTGTGTGTGTGTGTGTGCGTGTGTGTGTGTGTGTGACTCAGCCATCCAAATAAATAAAACCTGAATAATAAAAAGGGTTGGTATTGTGGCCCAGAAGGTTAAGCTACCACTTCTACAGTGGCCTTTCTTTATCAAAGTGTTCTTGGAGTCCTAGCTGCTCCACTTCCAGTCCAGCTCCCTGCTAATGTTGCTTGGGAAAGCAGTGGAGGATGACTCAAGTAATTGGTTTCCTGTCATCATGTGGGAGACCTGGATGGAGTTCTGGTCTCCTGGCTGTGGCCTGGCCCAGTGCCAGCCACTGCAGCCATTTAGAGAACGAACCAGTGGATAGAAGATCTCCACCTGTGTGTGCGTGCGCATGTGCACAAATGTTTCCGTCTGTCATTCAGCCTTTGAAAGAAAAAACAACAACAGCAGTGAGCACTAGCTGGACATTTGTCACTGCTAGGCGCCCTCCTTAGAAGAAGCACCAAGTGGTGAGGTCAGCCCAGCTTCTGGTATGTTTTCCTTGAAATCCCATCTCTCCCCTTGGAGCTCGCCCGTGTCTCATCTGAGCCCACAAGGCGTCTCTCCTTCCTTTCTCCTCTGAGCCCATCTCAATCTGGGCCAGCTGGCCAGGGCTGAGTGTGCAGAGCCCATGGGCCCTCCGCCTCGCCCTAGGATGAGTGAAGGCTCCATTGCAATCAGCAGATGGAGGGCTGAGTGGGAAGAGGGTGATTTCTGCTGTGCCAGGAGCCAGCTTGGTGTATGGTTCAATGAAAGGAGCCATGAGGATTGGTCATGCAGCCCGGGAATCCACCATGCCTCTGACTATGCAACTTCAGCCAGACCACTGTCCTTTCTGAGGGCTCATTCTTACTGACTTTTTTGAAAGAGTGACAGAGAGAAATCTTGTATCCACTGGTATCCATCATTCCTCCAGATGGCCACAGTAGCTCAAGGTAAAGCCAGGAGCTTAGAAAACCATCCTGGTCTCCCACGTGGGTAACAGAAGCTCAGGCTCTGGGCTGTCATCGTCTGCTTCCTTCCACAGTGCTTTAACAGGGAGCTGGATCATAAGCAGAGCAACCCAGTGGCTGCCAGCGGCTTAACCCACTGTACCACAATGCCTGCCCGTTTTATTGGTTCAGGCTTGCAACAGCTGTGTAATAGGTGTTGTGAATAGGACACTCAGGGTTGTTGTGAAAGCAGAGTTCATATTCAAACTGGTTAAAGATGGTAAACAAGGAAACAAATGCAATCATTACAGATTTAAGCAAGATGAACAGTGGGAGGTCAAGACAGCACCAGAGAAGGAGGGAGAAAGAAACAGAATCTCCATCTGCTGGTCACTCCCCAAATGCCCACAGCAGCCAGGGCTGGGCCAGGCGGAAGCCAGGAGCTTCATCCAGGCGTGTGACAGGAACCATGCACCTTGGCTACCGTCTGCAGCCTCCCAGGCACATCAGCAGGAAGCTGGATGGGCAGCGGAGCAGCCGGGACTGGACCAGCACGCTGACTGCTGTGTGACAACACGTCCCCCAGCATCCCTGCTTTGAGCGCTTCCTGTGTCTCAGCCTGCTCTCCTGTCCCTTGTCCCTCAGGCACAAGCAAGCAGGACATGACTTCCTTCAACATGGAGCTGTCCTCCAGTGGCATCAGCGCCGACCTCAGCAGGGTACGTGGAGGGGCTGGAGAGCACCCGGCTGGCCCCACCCCCAGAGCCCTGACTCTGTCCCATCTTCTTCCCCGGACAGGGCCACGCCGTGGTGGGGGCCGTGGGAGCCATGGACTGGACTGGGGGCTTTCTCGACCTCAAGGCCGACTTTCAGGATGCCACATTTGTTGGCAACGAACCGCTGATACCGGAAGCAAAATCGGGGTACCTGGGTGAGACTTCTGGGTTCTGCTGGCTTCTGGAAGGAGAGAGAGAAAAGCTCAGTTTGGCTTTAGAAATAGTGATAATGATGAATAAGCAACTGACACGAGCAAAGCTAGTGTGTAAATATAGTTCTACTTGGGTATTTATCCTGCTCTTCCTATTCTGCATTTTCTCATGTTTGGATGTCATGGGGTCTTGCTGATGCTGGAGGGATAGCCCCTCCCAAGCCAGCTAATTCTACTGTACAGCCTCCCTGGGACCGTGGTTCATGCATGGCAGCCCAACCCTGGCCCTCATCCAAGGCCCACACACCAGACTGAAGTTCCCCTTGCCCTTCTGCCCCCCAGTTAGGTACCAGCCAATTAATTGGAAGCCACCGCTGTCCCCAAAAACTGTTCCAACCATCCACCCTTAGGCTAGCTCAGATTAATCTACTTGACCACGGAAACCACAGTCAAAGCACGGGACGTGTGGGGGGACCATGCTCACTCAGGCCCTTCCCTTCCCGTGACCCGGGTGCTTCCCCGTCTGGCCCTGCGCCGGTGCAGGACCCCCTGCTGCTCAGGAAGTGACTGTTGACCTCTCAATGGTGACCCCTCTGTTCACCACTCAGTCACAGGTTTTGTGTGTAGCTGGAGAACTCTTCAAAAAAAAAAAAGATAGATTTATGTATGTATTTATTTATTTATTATTTTTTGAGGATTTCTTTTTATTTGAAAGGCAGATTTAGGTGGCATGAAAGAGAATAACAGAGATCTTCCATCTGCTGCTTTTCTCCCCCAATGGCCTCAATGACCAGGGCTTGGTCAGGCTGGAGTCGGCAGCCCAGTACTCCTCGTAGGGCTGCCACGTGGGTGCAGAGCCCCAGGCGCTTGGATCCTCTTCCACTGCTTCCCCAGATCCATCAGCAGGGAGCTGGATGGGAAGTGGAGCAGCTGAAACACAAATTGGGGTTTATACGGAATGCCAGCATACCAGGTGCATGTTAAACAACTGCCTTTTTAGAAGAAGGACTCGTGGCTCCTTTTTGAGGCTTCTTCCTCTTGAATTATTTAAGAACTCCAAGATTTTAGTCCATTCCAAGCACACCTTGGAGGCCAAGCACAGTGGACAGAAGTCTGGTCAATCCACTGTTGCTGTTGCTGCTCTCTGCCACACGAGGGCACTGGAGATGCCTGCTCTGTGCAGCTCTTTGGATGCTTTTCCACGTGAGGAATGCCAGGCAAGCCTTGTAGGTAGATGGACTCAAAATGCCCAATAGCAGTGGGTGCTGGGCCAGGCCAGAGTTGGGAACCAGAATTCAATCCAGGCCCCCCACATGGCAGCAGGGACCCATCTGCCCCCCACATGGCAGCAGGATCACCTCCCCCAGAGTAGCCTGATGTGCCATAGCCCTGGCCCCCATTTTTGTAATCTTTATTTTGTAGATAAGGAAGCTAAGCCGAGGAGAATTTAATTAAGTTGCTTAGGGTCACGGAACTGCTGGGCAGTAGTGTACAGGACTTTAGCCCCAAATATCCACCACTAAACGCCACTACCCCCATGTGACCTTGCATTCTTACAGCACTCCCCAGGTGACTGCAACAGCCAGAGCTGCGCCAATCCAAAGCCAGGAGCCAGAAACTTCTTCTGGATCTCCCACATGGGTTCAGGGTCCCAAGGCTTTGGGCCGTCCTCAATTGCTTTCCCAGGCCATAAGCAGGGAGCTGGATGGGAAGTGGGGCCACCAGGTTTAGAACCAGCGGCCACATGGGATCCCAGCGCGTTCAAAGCAAGGACTTTAGCCGCTAGGCCACCGCACCGAGCCCAACTCAACATTATTTATGACATCAAAATAAGTTGATCTTTTTGTTTCATCTTTCCACAAGCTTTTTGAAACATGCTCATCTATGTGAGTTTGTAAAAAATAAACATACGGGCTAGCACTATGGTGTGGTCAGTAAAACCTCTGCCTGTGGTGCTGGCATTCCATATGGGCGTTGGTTGTTGCCTTGACTGCTCCAGGTCCCATCCAGCTCCTTGCCTGTGGCCTGGGAAAGCAGCAGAGGATGGCTCAGGTCTACAGGCTCCTGAACCCGCCTGGGAGACCCGGAAAAGTCTCCTGGCTCCTGGCTTCAGATCAGCTCTGCTCCGGTCATTGTGGTCATTGTGAATGGAAGATATCTCTCCCTTCTCCTCTCTCTGTAACTCTTTCAAACAAATATATCTTTAAAAATACATATCTCATGCTCCCACTGCGCTCCCAGGGCCATGGTGTGCAGGGAGCAGCGCTGAGCACTTTCCAGCCGCAGTAGGTTCTCAACACTGCCCTAGGAGGTGGGCACTGCGCCCATTTTACAAATGAGAAAATCAAGGTCACAGTGGGTCATAGTGGCTCTAGACACTGAGACCTCATCTCTGTGACTGCCAAGGGTGGTCTCTCCCTGCCCAAGCTTCAGGAATAGGAACACACATGACTGAGCAGCGGCCCGGGCCAGCCTCAGCCCCGGTCCCCCGCTCTGCAGGGCATATGACTCACCCTCCGAGCCCAGGCAGAGAGGAGCCCCCTTGGGGTGCTGACTCATCCATGCTCTCAGCCTCACTGTGAATGACTCCTGACTCCAGCCCAGTCCTGAGCTCCAGGTTCCCATACCACGAAGAAGGCCTGAGGTGGAAGCTCTGAGCATGCGTGCCAGCTTTTTAGGTCCCTTGCTTTATCTTTAATATTCATGCCAACTTTGTATTCTTCCTATGAATATTTCCAACTTTATTATTTAAGAAAAAGAAGCATGTGGCTTGGCGGTTATGATACCGCTGGGGATGCCCACAACGTACATCGGAGAGCCTGGTTCGAGGCCTGGCCCTTCCACTTCTGATCCAGTTTCCCATTAGCGTACCACCTGGGAAGCAGCAGCTGAGGGCTCGAGTCCTTGAGTCCTTGTCACACATGTCGGACATCTGGCTTGGGTTCTGCACTGCAGGCTTTGGTCTGGCTCGGCCCCAGCTGAGCAGGCATTTGAAACAAACCAACAGATGGAAGATATCCATTCACAGAGGTTGTCATCTTCCTGGGTGATCCTCAGATGGGCCGAGCTGTGGCCACATTTTCCTAGCTGTGTGTGCTCAGGTAGCATCCTTTGGACTTCTGACTCAGAGGCTCTCTCTCTCCCTCTCTCCCTCCCTCTCTCTCAGGTTACACTGTGACCTGGCTGCCCTCGCTCAGAAATGCATCCCTGCTGGCAACAGGAGCCCCCCGGTACCAGCATGTGGGGCAAGTATTGCTATTCCAAAAGCAAAGCGTCCAAGGACCCTGGAGCCAGGTGCAGGAAATAGCTGGGTCCCAGGTGAGCACAGCCTGGGGGGTCCTCTGAGCAGGACAGGAGCTGGTGACAGGAGGCACACCCCTGTGTCCGAGCAAGAAGCATCTCCCCGCTGACGGTGACAGGTGCCCTGCCAAACACTGCCCATCCCATCTACTCTTGGCAGTCAGCCCTGTCACCTACCCTCTCTAATGCCAGCCTTGCCCAGGCTGCCAGGCTGCAGGCATGGCTGGAGCCTGGGCTGGAACACCTGAGGGACAGGTGTCCTGCCATCCCTGCCATCCCCACGGGCTCTATATCAGACCCTTCTCCTCCCTCTACAGATTGGCTCTTATTTTGGAGGGGAGCTCTGTGGTGTTGACCTTGACCAAGATGGGGAGACGGAGCTGCTACTGGTGGGAGCCCCGTTGTTCTATGGGGAGCAGAGAGGAGGTCGGGTGTTCATCTACCAGAGAAAGCAGGTGGGCCTCCCCGCCCCAGAGCTGAAGGCCAAGGCAAAAGGAGTCCCCATTATGGGGTGAACAAATACTTAGCACAACAGGCAAGCCCAGAGCCCATGTTCACTCAGGGACAAGGTGGGCCCCCTACATCCTCACAGCCCCTCCTTAGACCCCACAGGCCCGCCTGTTTCTGGGAGGAACCCCTGTACTGGGAACACCTGCTGGGGGCTCAGTGTGTGACCTGCCACCCTGCTCCTTCCCAGCCAGGGTTCCAGAGGGTTTCAGAGCTACACGGGGACTCTGGCCACCCCTTGGGGCGCTTTGGAGCAGCGATCGCCGCCCTGGCGGACCTCAATGGAGACGGGCTGCTGGACGTGGCCGTGGGAGCCCCACTGGAGGCACAGGGGGCCGTGTACATCTTCAATGGGCAGCAGGAAGGGCTCAGCCCCCAACCCAGCCAGGTGAGGAGCCCCACTTGCCAATCAGACCCCACCCCCACCTGATAGTTCCCACAATCCCATCTGTTCCCTCCCTTCCCAGCTCGGCTCAGTGTGAATTCTGTGCTTCCTCATAGCGGATAGAAGGGACTCAGGTGTCATCCGGAATTCACTGGTTTGGACGCTCCATCCACGGGGTGAAGGACCTGGGAGGCGACGGCCTGCCCGATGTAGCCGTGGGCGCCGAGGGCCAGGTGATCATGTTCAGGTGAGCTGGCACGTGGACGAGACCTATGTTGGTACCCTCGGCCCTTGTCCCACTGGTGGCCACCAGGTACCTGATCTGGTGTGCCCAGAGCTTCTGCCATCACTTTGTTTGGTCACCAGCCCACCCTGTGGGGCAGCGTCTCTTCTTAGAGAAGTTTTACACCGTAATTAGAGTCCTGTGTGCTGGTTCACTCCCCAGGTACCCACACCAGCCAGAGTGGGGCCAGGAGCTCCTCCCTGGCTTCTCCCATGGGTAGTAGGGACCCAAGTGCAATCTGGTTCAGTCCAATCCAGCTCCCTACTAACGGCCTGCGAAAGCAGTGGAGGATGGCTCACGTCCTTGGATCCCCTGCCCCCATGTGGGAGACCTGGAAGGAGCTGCTTGCTTCTGGCATCTTCCTGGACCGGCGCAGGCCACTGCAGCCATTTGGGCAGTGGACCAGCAGCTAGGAGATTCCCTGTCTCTCCTTCTCTCTCTCTGTAACTCCGCCTTTACCTTTTTAAAGAAAAAACACTTGGGTTCAGGTCCCAGTTTCGCTCCCGATTCCAGCTTGCCGCTAGCATGTACCCTAGGAGGCCGCAGTGGTAACTCCAATCCTTGGAGAGACCCGAGTGAGTTTCCTGGCTCCTGGCCCAGCCTTGGTCGTTGCAGACATTTGGGGAGGACGGAACGAATGGAAAAAGAGCTCCCTCTCCATCTCTAATGCATATGAAATCCCAGCGTGCCCCAAGGCACCCTGGGATAACAAAAAAGGCCAGCATTGAAGAGCCAGCGACCTGGCATGGATATGAAAAAGCTCAAATTGTCTTCCCTAAATGGCACGTGACCTCACTGAGGGGTCATAGGCGTGGAGGTCGCTCAGTGTGACTTTGAGGTGTAAAAAGCTCTGGCATCTTAATGAACATGGGGTCAGGAGATACTATGTAGAGTGAGGAGCGTCATCACCACGGTGCTTATGAGAGACAGGGAGGCTGAGGTTGGCTCGAGAGAACAGGGTCCCCTGAACCCTCCCCAGCAGCACCCCAGACCTGAGGAGAGGTGTGCAGTCGAGGCCCCGGGGGTGATTTTAGCTGCTTCCTGTCCTGCAGCTCCCGGCCCGTGGTGGACATCATCACAGCCATGTCCTTCCTCCCGGTCGAGATCCCGGTGCACGAGGTGGAGTGCTCCTATTCAGCCGCCAGCCAGAAGAAGGAAGGTGTCAACGTCACAGTCTGCTTCCAGCTCAAGTCCTTCAGCCCCAGCTTCGAAGGTCAGTGCTGTCCCCTGCTCCCTAGAGCAGCCACCTGCGCCCACGCAGCAACCCCCCCACACACACAGCACACACAATCTCTCCATTCATCCAACACTTGCCTCTTTCTTGCCCAGGCCCCCTAGTGGCCAGACTCAAGTACACCCTGCAGCTGGACGGCCATCGGACCCGCAGCCGGGGGCTGTTCCCGGGCGGGAAGTCGGAGCTCCGTGGGAACACGACTGTCACGCCCGTCCAGTCCTGCACCAAGTTCTGGTTTCACTTCCCGGTAAGGGAGCCAGCGCCGGTGCCTGGGAGGGGCGGCTGGGCCGGCGGAGGTGGGAGGTGGCAGCAGGTGCTGGTGGTGCAGGTGATGCGGGTCTCTGTCCTGCCAGTCCTGCAGCCGGGCAGTCAGTACACCCTTAGTCCTTTGGCTGCTGGTTTTTACTGTATTCACGTAAGGTATTTTAATGCGGTTCTCATTGCAACGTACGTGTGCTATTTTCCCTACTCTGTGCACACCTCATCGAGTAACACTTCATTCAGCTTTCACAATTTTTAAAAAAGTTGTATTCATTTTTATTGAAAAGTCAGAGATACAGAGAGGAGGAGAGACAGGAAGATCTTCCACCTGCTGATTCACTCCCCAAGTGGCCTCAATGGCCAGAGCTGAGCCAATCCGAAGCCAGGAGCTTCCTCCAGGTCTCCCATGCAGGCACAGGGTCCCAAGGCTTTGAGCAGACCTCGACCGCCTTCCCAGGCCACAGTCAGGGAGCTGGATGGGAAGTGGGGCCCCGGGACATGAACCAGCACCCCTGTGGGATGCCGGAGCATTCAAGACAAGAATTTTAGCCACTATGCTACTGCGCTGGGCCCCACAATTATTTTTAAAAACTCCTTGTTTGAGGTGGACATTAAGACACCATTTGGAATGCCCACTTGGGAATGGAATGCATGCTTGGGTTCAAGGCCTGGCTCCACTTCCAGCCCAGCCTCTTGCTATTCTGTACCCGGGGAGGCAGAAGTCCATGGCGCAAGTGCTCCCAGGTGACAGGGACCCGAGGCTCCACCCGTACCTGCTGCCTGCCAAGGTGCATTAGTAGGAAGTTGGGATTGGTGCTGGAGCCAGATCTTGAACAAAGGCATTCTGATACGGGATCCAGATGTCCCAGGCAGCAGTTCTAGTTCCAGCTGCTCCACTTGCCGATCCAGCTCTCTAAATGTGGCCTGGGAAAGCAGCAGAGCATGAATTAAGTCCATTCTCTTTGGGCCATGTTTTTGGGTCCTCACATCCACATGGGAAACCTAGAAGAAGCTCCTGGCTCCTGGCTGCAGATTGTTGCAGCCATTTGGGCAGTGAACCAGTAAATAGAAGATCAACCTTTCTCTGTCTCTCCTTTCTGTAAATCTGCCTCTCAAATAAAATTAAATAAATATTTAAAATAATCTTTTTTAAAAAAATGGGTCTGGGGCCTGGTGCAGCAACCTGTCGGCTAAATCCTCACCTTGCACACCTGGGATCCCATATGGGCGCCGGTTCTAATCCCAGAAGCCCCATTTCCCATCCAGCTCCCTGCTTGTGGCCTGGGAAGCAGTGGAGGATGGCCCAAAGCCTTGGGACCCTCTACCCATGTGGGAACCCGGAAGAGGCTCCAGGTTCCTGGCTTCGGATTGGCTCAGCTCTGGCCATTGCAGCTGCTTGGGGAGTGAATCAGCAAATGGAGAATCTTCCTCTCTGTCTCTCCTCATCTCTGTATATCTGTATATTTTTCCAAGAAAAATAAAATGAATCTTTAAAAAAAAAATAAAAACTAAAAAAAATGGGTCTGAATCTCCATTATTATGGTCTTTTAAGTATTTATTTTTAAATGTCCATTTATTCAGGGGCATTTATAGCTTTACTAGTTTTTTTAAAAATCATTTTATTGTTTATTTTAAAGAGAAACAGAGACATGGAGTTTTTTCATCTACTGATGCACTCCCAAATTCCCATAACAGCCAGAGCTGGGCCAAAGTGAAGCCAGGAGCCTGGAACTCAGCCCAGGTCTCCCCTGTGGGTGACAGGGACCCAGGTGTTTGACCGTCATCTACTGCCTTCCTGCAGTGCACACTAGATCGGAGCTGAGTGGGGGCTCAGACCCAGACGCTCCCCTGTGGGATGAGGGTGTCTCGTCCACTGAGCTCAGTACTCACTTCATTAATTTTTCATAAAAATATAAGATTAGAGCGTAAGTCATTGAAATTTGTTTAAGTCGTTAAATTTGTTTTTATCGTGGGGAATGTCAACCTGTTCTTGTGTCCCTAGGTGTGCATTCAAGACCTCATCTCCCCAATCAACGTCTCCTTAAGTTTCTCTCTGTGGGAGGAGGGGCCAGCCGGGGAACAGATGACGGTGAGAGCAGACGGGCTGGGGGGAACCAGTGATGACTGGGGTGGGGGTGGGGGAGAGCAGCAAGTCCACTTGGCAAGAAGGGACCATCCCATCCTGGAGACTCGGGTAGCAAGCTGTAGGAACCAAATCTGGCTTCCTTAAGAGAAACTGCACTTAGAGAAGTTTGAAAACCAAGTGTGGGGAGAAGGGAAGCCAGTGGTGGGGGTTGGGCCTCTGGGGGCTCCCCAGAAAAAACAAGAGTGGGTGGGTTCTTCTCAGCAAATCTACTTCCGGCCCCTGGGCGACATCAGCTCCCAGCACCACTCAGGATGCAAACTGGAAGGCCACCTGGAGACCCTGAGCTCGCCCTGATGGAGGGATGGGGCTGTTCTGTTTGGCTCACGTGCATTTGTTAGAGGCAGACAGAGCCACGTGGGTTGCCACTATCTCATAAAAGAAGGGGTGGGGACACACACTCCCACCCAAAGCACTCCTCGTCTGGCGCCCCCTGGAGGCAACAGGTGTATGCTTGTTAGACTGACAGGTGAAGGGATGAAGTTACAGTGTGGGACCAGCAAGAATCCCAGCTCAGCTGTTCCTGACTCTCTGCCTCCATCCTGCCCCTCAGTGTCAAGTTCAAGGCAGCTGGGAAGGCAGCTTTAGCCTCCCACAAAAAGACAGGTCGAGGGAGACTTAGGTCATGATCCTGACTGTGGTGCCATGGCTGCTGGAGGTCTGGGTGTGCGTGCTGGGACCCCAGCCCCGTGAGGGAGAGTCTACAGACCGCTCAGCAGCTGGCCTGCAGGTGGAGTCTTTCTAAAAAGTACAGCTGAGAATCTACCAAATTCTTCCAGGGTCTCCAGTGGGATAAAATCCTAACCCCTGGGAAGGCTCCAGGTGGGGCAGGGCACAGACGGAGGCCAGGCCGGCTGAGCCCCTGCAGCCCTGCCTCCTGTGTTAACCACCCTCCACCCCGCCGGCCTGTGCTCTGCAGGTGCAGCCTATCCTGAGACCCGCGCCGCACTCGGAGACCAAGGAGGTATGCGGGGTGTGGTGCAGAGAGGCAGGTGGAGGCCCGGGCCTGCAGCTCCTGCTCACCCGGGCCGCTTGGTCTTGCAGCTCCCCTTCGAGAAGAACTGTGGGGAAGACAAGAAGTGCGAAGCTGACCTGAGGCTGGCCTTCCCTCCTGCCAGGTCTGCAAGCCCCTCACCTCCCCCGTGTCCTGGGGACTACCCCTTGCCCTCCCTAGAGGCTCAGGTGGCCTTTTCTAAGAGATGCGGGAAGGGTGGGTGGAGCTGGGGAACCTCAGTCGGGGGCGTGGTCACTCTAGGTCCTGCCCCTTACCCACCTCGCATCCCAGTTGCTGCTTCTGGGTGAGTACCCGCCTTAGCTCTTCCTGGATCTCCCACCAGATCCAGCGCCCTGCACCTGATGCCCTCGGCCAGCCTTTCCGTGGAGCTGACGCTGAGCAACCGGGGAGAGGATGCCTACTGGGTGCGGCTGGTCCTCCGCTTTCCCCAGGGACTTTCTTTCCGCAAGGTGGAAGCGCTCAAGGTGAGCCTGGCTGCCCGCAGCACCTCCGGCTGTTGGCTCAGCCCACTCGGCCCGTACAGGGGTCTCGCTGCAGGGTCCCATCCTGGTTCTCAGCCTCCTGGTCACCCTCCAGCCCCGTGATCCCAGAGGCAGGGTTGAACCTCTCTTTGGACTCCTCCACCAACCACGAGGCAGGAGACAGCTGGCCACAGGGTCAGGGGACAAGGGGTGTGTGGCAGAGGTTCCCGGGTCTCAGGATAGGTCCCCTCCGCTTGAGCAGAATGTGCCAAGTGCATCCAAGTGCCTGTTCGAGTCCCAGCTGCTCTGCTTCCAGCCCAACCCCAGGCTGATGCACCCGGGAGGCAGCAGGTAATGATGGATGGCTGAAGGACTCGGGTTCCTGACACCCACGTGGGCTACCCGGAAGGAACTCCAGGTTCCTGGCTTTGGCCTGGGCCAGACCGGCTGTTGTGGCCATTTGGGGAGTGAGAGAGCAAATGAAAGATCTTTCACTCATACCCTCTGTATCATTATGCTTTTTCAAATTAAAACAAACAAAAAATCCTTTCTTAAAATGTGCTGATTTACCGAGGTTTGTTCACTTCCTTCACAGCAAAAACCAAAGTGTTTTTCGGGGATGATCTCATTCATTATTCCATTGATTTCTTTTTCCCTAGAAAAATTTACTTTGATTTTACTTGAAAGGCAGAGTGAAAGAAGGCGAGTTATTATTTATTTGAAAGACATTGGCGGGAAGCTAGAATCCAGGAGTCAGTCTGGGACTTGAGCCCTGGAACTATAATATGGAATACGGGCACCCCAAATGGTGTTTTAACTTCTAGAGCCAATGCCTTGCGCAGCAGTTGTTTCAAAAGAGCTTGGGTTGGTGAGGGGCTGCAAGGTGGCACAGCACACAAAACTGCCATCAGCAGCGCCTGCATCCCATGTGGGTGCTGGTTTGTATCCCAGCTGCTGCACTTCTGTTCCAGCTCCTGTAAGGCAGCAGTGATGGCTCAAATGATTGGGTTCCTGCCCCCCCCCCCGGGTTGCCTTGCATTGAGTTCCCAGCTCGGGACGTCAGCCCAGCTCTGGCTATTGTGGGCATTTGCATGGAACATTGTCTTTCTCTCATTCACTCACTCGCTCCTTGCAAATAGATTCAATACAGACTTAAAAAAAAAAAACAGTTGTTGACTGTGTAGATGCAGCAGTCTTGTCACCATCTTGAAATGTTCTGTTCTCTGCTTTGATAGAGCCACAGTGAGTGCACCCTTCCCACCATCACTTCTGGTTTCACTCTGTGACATGCAGGGGTGCAGGGCTCATCTTAGTACGAGGCCCCCATCTGCTTCTCAGATTTTGCTTCTGCCTGTCTCAGATTACAGGATGGTGGGGATAGAGCCTGGGGTGCAGGGAGGAGTTGTGGGGACATGGGCCCTGAGGGCCTATGGCCTTGCCCATCCTGACAGCCCGTCTTCTCCCTTGAAGCCACATAGCTACATACCTGTGAGCTGTGAAGAATACTCCAAGGAGCCCAGGCTCCAGAGCAAGAACCTCACTTGCAACGTGAGCTCTCCCATCTTTAAAGCTGGCAGTGAGGTGAGTGTTGGAGCTTGGAAGAGGCCAGGAACTGGGGTAGGCGGTGGGCAGGGTGTCTGGGCCACTCTCTGGCTGGTGAGGGCTTGCTTACCCAGAGGGAGAGGTGTGTGAGATGTCCCCTGGCAGGTGGGAGGATTCAGGATGCGCTTGGGGCTGGAATCCTGAGGGGCCCCGCCCTTCACAACCCCACTGTCCCACTCTGTGTAAGGGAAACCCCTGGCCCGGAGTTTTCACAGTTTGCACCGGCTTATAGGAGGCGGGACAGGGCTGCCCCCTGAGACCCCTGTCTGGTCCTTCCCCTCAGGTTGTTATCCAAGTGATGTTCAACACGCTACAGAACAGCTCCTGGGGTGACCTGGTAGAGCTGCACGCCCACATAGATTGGTGAGCCACCCCCGAGCGGGCCCACCCTACCCCCACCCCCCGGACCACCCCGGGATCCTGGCCCAAGCTCTCCTCCTAACCCACCTCCTTCTCTCCCACCCCAACACAGTGAGAACGAGGACGTAGGTCTCCTTGAGGACAACTCAGCCATGACCACAATTCCAGTCCTGTACCCCATCAACGTCCTCATCGAGGAGTGAGTCCTCCCTTCCCCCCTTCTCCTCCCACCCTGACCTTCCCTGAGCCCACTTCCCCTCTGAACACTGATTCCAGCCACAGCCCAGCATTTTCAGCACTCCACATGGGCAGCCCTTTGCCCGCCCTGAAGTCAGGTCAGCGCTTCTGGGCAGAGAAAGCACAGGGCCAGCTCTGCAGTGCATGGCCACATGGCTGCGGGCTTGTCCCTGAGGCCACAGGGCAGCATGCGCCTTGCCCCATTCTCCTGCCGAACAAACTGAGAGGCTCAGAGGAGGCAGACCCTGGCCCTCACGACTGGTCCTGCAGCCAGGGTCTGTGGTAAAGCCGCTGGCCGGCCCAGGAACACTTTGAGCGGGGATAGAGGAGGGAGAAGTATTCACAAGGGCTGTGACCCTCAGGAAGCTCAGGGTCAAGGGTGGAGGCCACGCTCAGACGGAAGCCGTAGACCTCAGTGGCCGGGGTCTCAGGCCAGCCTTCCCAAGCTGACTCATGCCTGAAGGCCAGCCAGACTGACACTGATGAGAGGAGCCATTAGTGCGGGTTGGGGGAGGTTGGAAGGTACCAGGAGCAGGTGGGGTGACCCAGTAGGGGTCACCCCAAAGTGGGAGACATTGGGTAAGAGCACAGGTGAAGATCAAATACAGGAAGCTGGGAATGGCCGGGCTCAGCCTGGGGCAGGTGCAGGCAGGGGTGCAGTGGAAGGACTGCCTTGACCAAGAGGCTCAGGCCTGACTACATGCATGTCGCATGGGAACGTGCCAGCCTCCGAGGGTGCGATCAGGAGGGTTGGAAAAAGACGGGTGGGGAAGGTAGTGCTGGGCTTGTATGCTTTAAGATGCCCGGGACCCAGCAGGCACTGGTGAGGTGGAACATGTCGGGGAGGCCAAGGCCTGATGCCTGTTCCTCCATCAGGCGAGGTAACGGGTGAGCCTTCATTTCTGAAAGACAGCAAAAGGCCAATCCTCACAAGGCTGAAATTGGATCATGCTTGTGGGCCAACCCCGCCCCACCCCGCCGCTGGGCCCCTGCTGGGTCTCCATCTCCTCCACTCTCATCTCTGCTCCTCTCTCCACAGCCAGGAAAACTCCACACTGTATGTCAGTTTCACCCCCAAAGGCCCCAAGATCCACCACGTGCAGCACATCTACCAGGTGCGAACCTCAAGGGGATGGGGGCCCTGTGAGTCATCGCAGGTCACTCAGCCCCACCCTGGGGGCGGGGACACAGCGCCATCCTTGGCCGGCCCAGCCGCCACCTGCTCCAGTCCCTTACAAGTGATGGTGCCTACTGCATCTCCTAGTGCCTGGGGACTCCCAGAAACACCCAACTTCAGGGCGATGGGGAGTCTGCGAAAGGACCTAGGTTTTTTTCTTTTTTTTATTAAGATTTATTCATTTAACTGAAAGGCAGGGTTAGAGAAAAAGAAAGATCTATCTACTCATCTCACAACCCAAATAGTTACAATGGCCAAGGGCGGGCAAGACCAAATCCAGGAGCTCCAAGCACTTGGGCCATCTTCCACTGCTTTTCCCAGGATGTTGGCAGGGAGCTGGATTGGAGATGGAACAAGGGAACTGGAACTGGCACCTATGTGGGATGCCAGGCTCGCAGGCCACAGTGCCAACCCCAGAAGCTGCAGGTCCTGTTCTTTTTTTTTTTTTAATTGAAAAATTAGATTTACAGAGAGAAGGAGACACAGAGAAAAAGATCTTCCAACCAGTGGTTGACTCCCAAAGTGGCCACAACAGCCGGAGCTGAACAGATCTGAAGTCAGGAGCCTCTTCCGGGTCTTCCATGCCAGTGCCAGGGCCATCCTCAACTGCTTTCCTCAAGCAGGGAGCTGGAAGGGAAGTGGAGTAGCCAGAACATGAACTGGCACCCATATGGGTCCCACCGCATGCAAACCAAGGATTTGGCCACTACTAGGCTATTGCGCCAGGCCCCTGGGGGCCTGATCTAACATAACATGAGCTACTGTTGGAGTTTGAGTAGTTGGGTAGGTGCTAGTCAGCAAAAAATCCAACAGGGTTCGTGCCCACACGGCAAGCCCAGGTTTTATATCCGTGCTTTCTGTGGGCAGCCCCTGCAGTGCCACTCAGTCCCATTTTACAGATGAGAAGTCTGTCCCGCAGACAGGGCAGGAGCTTGCCCAGCTTACATAGTTGCTACAGAGAAGCAGTGAGATTTAAGCACGTATTTGTGTATTTCTTTAAAAGTCAGATGAAGATAGAGAGATAGGTTCACACACGTAAGTCTTCCATCTGCCAGTTTACTTCTCACATGCCCCCCCCCCAAACAGCTGGCGTTGGGCCAGACCCAAGCCTGCAACTCCCTCTGAGTCTCCCATGTGGGCAGCTGGAGCCCAAGCACTCGAGCACCCCTGGAGTGCACCTTCGCAGGAAGCTGGTCTCCAGCCAGGCTCTCCGACGAGGCTGCAGGTGTTCGAATGGTACAGCGTCTGCCTCTCCAGCCTGCATCTCCATATGGAGACCTCTAGGTTCAAGTCCATGACCTGACATCGGCCATGCCAAATGGTCATTGCAACCATTGTGGGCTCCAGCAGAAGGCTGCCCTTCGACCACAGGCTGAAACCTGCAGAATGGCCATTAACCTGTTCAGAGCATTCTCCTTTTTGGTTAAAAAAAAAAAATCTTTGAGAGACAAAGAGCTCCCATTTGCTGGTTCACCCCAGATGCCTGCAGAGCTGCTGGCCAGGCTTAGAAAGCCAAAGCTGGGACCCAGGAATTCCGTCCAGGACTTTCACACGACTGGGCCATCATCGCAGCCTCACAGGGTATGCACAGGCAGGAAGCTGGAGTCAAGAGCCAGGGATGGGCATCGAACCCCATGCCTCATTGTAGGATACGCATGTCTTAGCCACTAGGCCAAACTCAAGAGTGCGCTTTATTGTGCACTGAAGAGTATGTATAATACGTATCATATGGGTGCTTCAAAAAGCTCGTGGAAACCTGGGGTTAGAAGGCTGAGCTTGGGGTGGGTGTTTGGCATGGCAGTCGAGGTGCCACTTGTCAAATGCCAGGTCCTCTTGTCTGAGTTCCTGGCTTGGAGTCCTAGCTCAAGCTGCCTGCTTCTGCTCGCCCTGCAAGGCAATGGTGATAGCTTGGTGCTTTAGATGCTGCATCCACCTGGAAGACCCAGATGGGGTTCCTGGCTCTGAGCTTCAGCCTGGCCCCATTCCAGCTGTTGTGGGAATTTGGGAAATTAACCAGAAGATGAAGCAGTTTCTTTTAAGCAAACAAATACATTTTTAAAATCATCTTTCAGGGCCTGGTATGGTAACGTAGTAGCTAGATCCTCACTTTGCAGATGCCATATAGGTGCCAGTTCGCATCCCAGCTGCTGTACTTCCCATCTGGCTCCCAGCTTGTGGGCTGGGAGGGTGGTCAAGGACAGACCAAGGTCTTGGGACCCTGCACCCACATGTGAGACCTGAGGAAGCTCCTGGCTCTTGGCTTTGGATTGACTCAGCTCTGGCTGTTTCAGCCAGTTGGGCAGTGAACCAGCGGATGGAAGATCTTTCTCTCTGTGTCTCCTTCTCTATAAATCCACCTTTCCAAATAAAATAAACAAACCCTTGAAAAAAATCACCTTTCACAGTTAAATTCAAATCTGCGCCTGACCCTGGGCCTTTGGGAGTTCGCTGGTACGCTGCGTTCCCAGTGTCTACTGGATGAACGGCAACAGGCCATGTGGCTCACACGGACATTGTCTGCTTGACCGTCCTGCTCCCACTCCTAGACCACTTTCCTGTGCATTTCTCTTGACATGAAAAGTCGTCCGGAAATGTTTCCCAAGTCAGTGTGGTTAGCAACGTCTTTCCCATCCTGCTTTGCATAAGTGCTGTTAGTATCTCTCCTTGTCTGATGTCATGTCAGCTGCCAGGGACTTGGAGGTGGGAGAAGCCGTAGCCCCTGCCCATCCTCAGGAAACTCAGTCATATGGATTCAGGCACAGGGAACCGCATAGAACCCTGGGAGGCCTCAAAGAGTCCTCAGGCCTCGCCCAGCAAGGATGGGAAGGGGTGTGAGGGGTGCGCTGGGCAGGGTGGCACCGAGCCCTGCAGTCACCCACCTCTGTCTGCTGCCAGGTGCGGATCCAGCCTTCCGTGCACGATCATAGCCCGCCCGTACTGGAGGCCTTGATCGGGGTGCCAGGGTCCCCTAGCAAGGGGCCTATTACCTACACGTGGACTGTACAGATGGTGAGTGTAGCCCAGAGAGGGGATCTGGGATATGTGGGGTGCCAGGGCGGGGGGTGGGAGTGAGCAAACTTGCCCAGGGTACAGAGGGCAAAGCTGGGTGTGGGACAGCAGGGAGAGTGGGCAGATCACAGTCCCATGGGATTTAGCGGGGCTTGGGTGGGGCTGGTGGGGGTGATGGAGGATGCTCAAGTTTTCTCTAGAACTGGGAAGGCCCCAGACTGACTTGGCCCCACCACCCCTCCCCATCAGGAGCCTCCTGTCACCTGTCAGTTCGAGGACCTGAACAGGCTGCCCAGCGTGGATGAGGTAGGGGATCCCAGAGCTGAGCAGTGGGCCAGGGGCGAGGCAGGGCGAGACAGCAGGTGGTGGGGATAGTGGCCACCCTGACCACTTCTGTGCCTTCCCCCACGGCAGCCCTGTCTCCCTGGAGCCCAGTTTCGCTGTCCCACCGTCTTCAGGCGACAACTCCTCGTCCAAGTGCTTGGGACCATAGAGCTGGCGGGCGAGATTGAGGTAGCACCTGTTGCCGGTGGGCAGAGCCTGGGTGCTGCTGTCCTCCTCCGTGACTCAGAGAACCACACTGTGTTTGGAATTTACCGTGCTATTTCCAGGGGCCCTGAGGGTGGCTCCTGGGTGGTCTAGATGGGAAAATCTTGGCTTCCATTACAGAAAACGAGGTGGAGTGGATCGCAAGCCACGCCACACTCTCCTGGGTTCCTGCCTGTGGTAACAGTGATGGGTGATGAGCGGCCCAAACCCTGGGTGCCAGGGCCCCATCCCTCCTGGTCCTGACCCGTCCTCGCGCCCCCACAGGCCTCTTCCATGTCACGGCTCTGCAGTTCACTCTTCATCTCCTTCAATAGCAGCAAGCACTTCCACCTGTACGGCAGCAACGCCTCCATGGCCCAGGTACCTCTGTCCCCCCAGCAACCCTCCAAAACGTATCTCACACAGGGTGTGGGGAGCCTGGGGCAGAACTAGAAAGGCAATGGAGGGACTGTGTGGAACAAGGTCAGGACTCAGCACCAGCCCAAGCCTTACCTCTCCCCACCCATAACCAGCCCTGGGGGTGAACGGGGCCACCTGTCTGTGATGGGGCTGTGTGACAGGTGACAGGAGTGGCAGATCAGGGACAACCACATGCCACACTGAAGCTCCTGAGTTCAGTGTGTGATGCTTGCTCCTTATTCCAGCTTCCTGCTCAGGCAAACACTGAGAGGCAGTGAGTGATGGCTCCAGGACTTTGGTCTGCTGCCCATGTAGGAGAGTTAGAGTAGGTGCCTGGCGCCTGGCTTCGGCACGGCCCATCCCTGGCTGTTGCAGACCTTCAGAGAGTGAACCAACCAGCATCTGGGAATGTTCACTGTCTTTCTGCCTCTCAAATTAAAAATAAAAGCTGAGAACGAGGGAGTTAACAATAGGGGTTAACACCAACCCCGTAGTAAGACAGTAGAGACCCAGAGTCCCAAGGCACTGGGGCAGGTGTGAGGGCAGGCAGGATTGCACTGTGACTAGTGGGCCAGGAACGAGCAGGCAACAGGAGCTTGGAGGAGGGGAGGAACAGGGAGCCAGAGTTGTGGAGGCTTTGCATGCTGAGCTAAGCTGGGAAGCCCCACCACCACCACCAAGGCTGAGGGCGCACCCGGGGTGACGGAGGTACACTGGCCAAGTGATGGCAGCGTGTGGCCCAAGGGAAGGGGACAGGGCCCAGAGCCAGAGCCCGGTTCTGCGACATTGTACTGGAGGGTTGGAGGGGTGAGGCAGGGCACAGCACCTGCAGGTGGCTCTCCCGCCTTCCAGCTGGTCATGAAGGTGGACGTGGTATTGGAGAAGAATATGCTACAAGTGTACCTGCTGAGCGGCTTCGGGGGTCTGATGCTGCTGCTCCTCATCTTCCTGGCACTCTACAAGGTCTGAACCCTGGGGCAGGGGCAGGGGCAGGGGCAGGATAGGCCCACCAAGCCTGCCAGGCTGGGAGGGAGTGCCAGGGCCAAGACTCTGGAAGAGGCCTGCATCTACCCCCACGTCTGGCACAGGAGCAGGCAAGAATGGCCCAGTGCCGACAGCACCCTGGGAGGGCTGGGAGATGGGGGACACGCCCACGCATGGAGGGCTTCCGGGCACCCGGTGCTCCATTGAGAGGCAGTCTGCACAGATATGGTCCCTGCCTCCTTTGTGGCCCTCCCAGTCTGAAGGGCAGGGGCAGTGGCACGCACTTGGGGCATGAGGAAGTCACCACTTGGGACACCCACGTCTTCTGGACACCCATATCTTCTATCAGAGTCCTGGGTTCGAATTTCAACTCCACTTCTATTGCAAGGGATGGGTCAAGTGTGGTTGAGTCCCTGCCACCCATGAGGGAGAAGAGGATGGAATTCTAGCTTCTTGGTCTGGCCCAATGTGACCACTAGAGGAGTGAATCAGTGCATGGAAGAGCAATCTCTTTGTCTTCCTCCTCTCTCTAGAACTGTCTTTCAAATAAACACAAAATAGAGACCAGCGCTGTGGTGCAGTGAGCTAATCCTCTGACTGCAGCATTGGCATCCCATGTGGGTGCTGATTCTACTCCCAGCTGCTCCAATTCCAATCCTGCTCCCTGCTGATATGCCAGGGAAAGCAGTGAGGAATGGCATAAGTCCTTGGATCCCTGCACCCAAATAGGAGACTCAGAAGAGGCGCCTGGCTCCTGTGGCAGCTGTGGCTATTGTGGCCATTTGGGGAGTGAACTAGTGGATGGAAGATCTCTCTCTCTCCATCTCCTTTTCTCTCTTTGAAACCGTGAGCTTTCAAGTAAAATAAATACAATCTAAGAAAAAAAGAAAAGGAAGGAAGAGAGGAAGAAAGAAACAAATAAATCTTTAAGATAAATATTGTAGAAATATTAATTCTTCCCATTAGTATTTGTAGGTATTGTCCATCCACATGGGAGACCAGACTGGGATCCTGGATCCTGGCTGTGGTCTGATCCTAGCTTTAGCTGTGTCAGCCATTTGGAGAGAGAGAGAGACAAGGACCCATCTTCTGTCTGCTAGCTCACTCTTCAAATGACTGCAGGACCAGGACCAGGACTGGATCAAGCTGAGGCCAGGGCTCTGGGACTCCATCTAAGGTCTCCCACATGGGTGCAGGGGCCCAAGCCTTTGGGTTTTTACCACTGACTTCCTGGGTGCATTAGCAAGGAGTTGGATCAGAAGTGAAATAGCCAGGACTCCAAGCAGTGCTCCTAAGACAAAGCTGATAACCCGGATAGCCAAGTCCCCTCCGGGCAGCCCGGAGTGGGCCCCATGTGACCAGGGCCCCACGCCTTACTAACAGGGTGAGGTTTCACAGTTTTCCCTCAGGTGGCAGGTGTAAGCCCACTGCACTTCTCGCTCACTAGACTTGCTTTTCTGCAGGTGGGCTTCTTCAAGCGGAACCTGAAGAAAAAGATGGAGGCAGACGGAGACATCCCCAATGGATTCCCTGGGGAAGACTTGGGGCCGCTGGCCCCTACAGAAGGAGCTGAGGACACAGGGTGCCTGGAGCCACTACAAGGGAAGGAGGCGCCAGAAGCCGAGGGCAAGGACTGAGGCCCCAGGCTGCCGCACACAGCCCTGTGTGTATCCTTGTGTGTCCCAAGCCAGTCCCTGCCTCTCCTCAGGCCTCAGTTTGCCCGTGTTGAGCCTGGAGCTCGTCCTGCTGCTGCCCCTGCAGGCTCATGATGAAAAACTGCTGCCAGGCTGGCCAGGGAGGCTACGTGCTGCGGCCTTGGAGTCATCACCCGGTCCCCCTCCTCCTGGGCCAGCAACACTGGGTCTGAATGTGGAGGAGCCACAGTCATGGGCCCTAGAGCCGTTCCAGGGTCTCCAGAGGCCTCAGACCCCGCAGCCCTGCCCTGCGCTACCTCCGGCCTGAAGTCCAGCCAGCCTCCAAAGAGCCAGTCCCTTCAGTGTCACTGTGTCCATCACAGACACCTGCTCTGGGGCTAGGGACCAGAGGCTTTTCTGGAGGCATCCACCTACCTTTCCCAGCTCCAGTGACCCCTGCTTTGCTCACACACCACACTTCCTCCCTTCTCACCGCATTTACCCAGCCAGCCCCGACTGTGTCTGGAACATTCTCCCCGCCTCCTCCTCTGGCTAGCCATCACTCGGCCTTCAGACCTCGCATCCTCTTGTTCCGGCTCCATGAGCTTTGCACATTGCACCCCTTTCAGCAACCCAGCCTCATCCCCAAGTTGCTCATATCTGATGGTTTACTTGATGTGTGGCAGACAGCGAGCCCTGCCCTGCAGTGGTGTCACAGGGTTAGGCACGCAGTTGACAGTTTCACTGAATGAGTGAGGCATCCTGGAGAGATGGTGAAGTTGGGATCCCCAGCCTCCCGGGCTCCGCCCTCCCAGGCTTTGCTCCAGCCCTCACTCCCCCAGCCTTTCACAGGTTCCTCCCTGCAGCCCTGGTGCCAAGCCCTGTGCCTGAGGACATACACCCAGTCAGCATGACGTCCCGTGCACCCGTGTGACTGTGGGCCTAGGCTGCTCAGCGCTTCTTGGCTTTCCTCTTTTTCTCAAATGCTGACCTGCACATGACACTGTAAGGCAACTCATCAGAGAAGCAGGGGCAGGTGTGTAAGGTGCCCACATCACCACGGGAGTCCCTGGGTACAGCCCCTAGCCCTGGCTCCCGCCTCCAACTCCTGGCTCATGCTCACCCTGGGAATCAGGGGTGACAGTTGCAACCACCCGTGTGGGAGACCCGGATTACACCCCCAGCTCCCAGAATTGTCCTGGCCTGGTCCCCAGTCACTGGGAACATGTGGGAAAAAAACCAGTGGATGGGAGATTTGTCTTTCTGTCTCTCAAATTAATTTTTACAAGTGGGTTAGGGACGAGAGAGATACAGAACCCGTGAAGAGTTTCGAGGGCATTTGGTAAGTCATGAACAAGGGAGTCTACATCCCTTTAGGCATGGACTGAAGGAGTTTTCCACCGCTCTATAGGGAAGACAGAGGGAACGCTCACTGCTGCCCTCTGGTGGTCTGCAGGAACAGTGAGCGGCTCCAAGGCCTGTTCCCTGGCCTAGCTCTGGAGAATAAACAGGCAGGCAGGAGGGGCCCTGCCTGCCTGCGCGGTGAAAGACCGCGTTGTGGTACCCTAAGCAGCAGCCTTTGTTGGCCCCCTGCTGCCTGGCACCCAAGACTCAAAACAGCCTCCTCAACCACTGGGGGTGGGGTGGGAGAAATGTTTAACAGGGCTGGTGTTAGATTAAAGCAACATCTGCAGAGCTAGCATCCCATATGCCAGTTTGCATCCCAGCTCCCTGGAAAAGCAGCAAATGGTGGCCCAAGTGCCTGGACCTCTGCCACCCATGTGGGAGACCAGGACAGAATTTCAGGCTTTCTGCTTGAGGCCTGGCTCAACACCAGATGTTGTAGCCTTTGGGGACATGAACCAACAGATGAAAGATTCTCTATACATGCATAACTGTGCCTTTCAAAGGCATAATTTTAAAAATTGAAATATTTTCATCAAGGTTTGATGAAAAAAGTGAATTTCCTGGGAGGATAGGAATAGCCATCCTTGTGCCTAAAGACTCATTCACATTTTCCCACCAGGAAGGCCCACCCTGTCTCCCCCACCCCCGTAACTTCACACCTGCTGGGCCCCTTGCCACCAAGCCCTGCTCCATGTCTCTTACATCCATGGACACTCCCAGGCACTGTGAAGTTGTCCCTGTGTCCATGCATGTTTTGCTTCCTTTTCGGAGGCTGTGTGGTCCTGGAAGGAGAACCTAGGCCTCCCTGGCATCCGCGGTACCAAACCCTTGGCCTCCAGTAGATGCTGAATCCAGGGACCCTTAAATGCTGTGGGGTCCCTTTAGTCCATCTAAGAAACACCAAGATTCCTGGGCCAGGCAGGCAACCTAACACTTGTCATTTTAGAGGAGCCACGTTCACAACCGGCTTCAGCCCCAACTCGGCTCCCAGCACACCTGGCACAGGGAAGCAGCAGTGATGGTTCAGGTGCTTGGAATCCTGTTGCCCATGTGAAAAGCTTACACTGAGCTCCTGGCTTCAGCCCGGCCCAGTGCTGGCTGTCACAGACACGGCAGGGTGCAGGGAGGGAGGGATAACCGGCAGGTGGAAGACTCTTCCCTCCTTCTCTCTTTGTAACTAACTTTGCCTTTCAAATAATAAAATATATATGTAACAACAAAAGAAACCCTGTAATATTGTGGCCAGTGCAGTGGCACATCAGGATTATCTTCCATCTGCAGTGCCAGCGTCCCAGAGACACTGGTCCGTGTCACTGTTGCTCTGCTTCCCATCCAGCTCCCTGCTCGGGTCTGGGAAGGCAGTGGAGAATGGCTCAGATCTTTGGGCTCCTGCACCAATGTGAGAGCCTTGGAAGAAGCTCTTGACTCCCAGCCTCAAATTAGCTCAGCTCTGGCCATAGTGGCCACCTGGAAGGGTTCAGGCTTGGGTACAAGCCTATGTGCTCCAATTCTGGCTGCTTACTAGTCCAGGTTCTGGGAGGAACAGTTGAGGTTTCAATGCCTTGGTCCGTGTAGTCTTTGGAGTAGATCCAGACTGAGTTCCTGACTCCGAGCTTTGGCCTGGCTTGGTCCTAGCTGTTTGAGACATTTAAGGAGTGAACCAGCACACGGAAGATCATTCCTTGGCTGTCTCTGTTGCTCTTTCCAAAAACTACAGTAAAGGATGGCCCAAGGTCTTGGATTTCTGCACCCACGTGGGAGACATGGAGGAGGCTCCAGGCTCCTGGCTTCGGATCAGCGCAGCTCTGGCCTTTGTGGCCACTTGGGGAGTGAATCAACAGATGGACGATCTTCTGCTTCTCCTCTCTATACATCTGACTGTGCAATAAAAATAAATAAATCTAATAAAATAAATCTTAAAAAAGAAAGATTCTATCTCCCTATCCCTCTGCCTTTTGAAGAAAAATCTGTTTAAAAAATAAAATGCAAATATATTTGGGTTAAAAAAAAAAAAACACTTTAAAATTCAAGCTTATGGGCCCTACACAATGGTGCAGTGGTTAAGGTCCTCACCTTGCACGCCCCGGGATCCCATATGGGCGCCGGTTCTAAACCCAGCAGTCCCACGTCCCATCCAGCTCCCTGCCTGTGGCCTGGGAAGGCAGTCGAGGACGGCCTAAAGCTTTGGGACCCTGCACCCGTGTGGGAGACCCGGAAGAGGCTCCTCGGCATAGCATCGACCGTTGCGCTCACTTGGGGAGTGAATCATTGGACGGAAGATCTTCCTGTCTTCTCTCTGTAAATCCGCCTTTCCAATAAAAATTTAAAAATAAATCTTTAAAAAACAAATCTTTAAAATTCAAGCTTAGCGAGCCCAGCAGCGTGGCCTAGCGGTTCAAGTCCTCACCTTGAACGCGCCGGGATCCCATATGGGTGCCGGTTCTAATCCCAGCAGCTCCACTTGTGGCCTGGGAAAGCAGTCGAGGACAGCCCAAAGCACAGGGACCCTGCACCGTGTGGGAGACCTGGAATAAGTTCCTGGATCCTGGCTTCGGATCGGCATAACATCTTCCATTGCACTCACCTGGGGAGTGAATCATCGGACGGAAGATCTTCCTCTCTGTCTCTCCTCTCTGTATATCTGACTTTCCAATAAATAAATAAATCTTTAAAAAAAAAAAATTCAAGCTTAGCCTTTGCATCACTTGCGTCTTCCAGGTACTTGCTCTCAAGTTCTCATGGAAGAGGAAGGCCTTGACAGGGCACTGCCATGTTCTTGACAGCCACTTTCTTAAGACGTCCCCAAGGCTAGACTCAAATACGGCACTAACTCCCCATACACTCCCAAGGGGCCAAGCACGAGCGTGAGGGACCTGGGTGGGAAAGCAGGATAAAGGCACGGCAGCCCAGCAGGACTGCCCACACCCCCGGTGGCTTGCTGGGTACCCTCTGCCAGTTTAGCCCTCAGAAGCAGGGGGGCACAGAAGGAGCAGATCTGGGTGACAGGATCTTAGGAGCCCCCAGGGCCCCCCCGGCTGGTTTTCAGCTGGGATGAGCGCCTCCTGCTGGCCAGGCACCAGATCTAAAGGACCAGTCTCTCTTAGCACAGAAAAGATAGTTTTATTGAATTCGAATTCAGGGGCTCCAGAGCCTAAGATGAGGGAGGCTGAGGTTTACACGCAAGAGGCCCCCTCGACACCCCACCTACCCTTCTACCCCTTCCTGACAGCGAGGGTCTTAGCAGTTACCAATCTAAGCTACCCCACTCTAACCAAGGCCCCTCCCACACCCTCCCCCCACCCCAGCTAGCCCCTGGCCAAGCAAGGCCGGCACCAAGCAGCGTGCTGCGCTGAGGCCAGCTCTCCACTGACCTCTCTCTCCCAATCTCTCCCAGAGACGCCTGCTGTTGCTCTGGCCTCCCTCCAACCCCCTCTGCTTAGCCCATCCTCCCGCAAGTCTCCAGGGCATGCAACCCCCTGCACCCTGGCACCTCTGCTTCTAGAACCCTCCACTCCTCCGACTTGCCCACCCACTCTCCTCTCCAACGGTTTCTCTAGCTCCCAGCCCCCCCCCACCCCTTGCTCCTTCCCCTTCTGCCCCCCACCTCCCCACCCCCCAAGCGGAGCCAGGGCTTCAGCGGCGGCCTGCTGCGTGGGTCCGCTGGTGGCGGATGAGGTCGGAGCTCTGCGAGAAGGCCTTGCCGCAGTCATCACACTTGTAGGGCCGCTCCCCGCTGTGCACCCGGTGGTGCTGCAGCAGTGTGGAGGAGCGGCAGAAGCCCTTGCCGCACACGGCGCATCTGTAGGGCCGCTCGCCTGTATGCGAGCGCTGGTGCTGGATCAGGGTGGAGGAGCGGTTGAAGGTCTTGCCGCAGTCGGGGCAGCTGTAGGTGCGGCCTGGCAGGTGGGTGCGGGCATGGATGGCCAACACAGAGCTTTGGCCAAAGCGCTTGCCGCACTCGGGGCACTTGAAGGGCTTCTCCCGGGCATGGCTGCGGGCGTGAGGGATGAGGGCTGAGCGCTGGGAGAAGCTCTTGCCGCAGATCCCGCAGCTGAAGGGCCTCTGGCCGGTGTGCACCCGCTGGTGGCTGCGCAAAGATGAGTTCTGGCTGTAGCACTTGCCACACTCGGGGCAACTGTAGGGCCGTTCGTGGCTGTGCGTGCGCTGGTGCCGGAGGAGGTAGGAGCTGTCGCCGAAGGCCTTGCCGCAATGCGGGCACTTGTAGGGTTTCTGGCCCGAGTGGGTGCGCTGGTGGCGGAGCAGGTAGGAGCTGTCGGCGAAGGCCTTGCCACAGCGGGGGCACTTGTAGGGCCGCTCACCGGTGTGGGTGCGCTGGTGTTTGATGAGGTCGGAGCTCTGGGAGAAGGCCTTGCTGCACACCTCGCACTTGTAAGGCTTCTCGCCAGTGTGGATACGCTGGTGCTGGATGAGGGTGGAGCCCCGGCCGAAGCTCTTTCCACAGATGCCACAGATGTTAGGCCGCGGGCCCTGGCCACCCCGAGACCGACCACCCCGCCGGCACCCCGTCAGACCCAGGGGGTTCTGCAGCATTTCCAACTGGGGTGGTGTCAGCAGGGCCCCCGTGGGCATCTCAAAAGGTGGTCCCAGGGGCACGTCACCAGCGGACTGCTCCCCAAGCTCCTGAGTAAAGGAGTCCAGAGGGTGGACCCCCAGGGGCAGGCTGCTCAAAGCGGCATTCCTTGCTTCAGGATTCAGGAGCACTGCCGCCTCTCCAGCCTCTGCTTCCGGGCTCTGCGTTTTGAACTCGGGGTTCTGGGATTCACACCCAGGACTCTGAGATTCAAACTCAGGGCTTTGAGGTTCATAGCCAGGGCTCCTAGGTTCCAACTCAGGCGCCTGAGAATCAGGGCTTCTAGGGCCAAACTCGGGACTAGGGGGTGTGAACCCTGGGCTGCGGGACTCGAACCCTGGGCTTTCCGGCTCAAACCTGGGGCTGTGGGATGCAAACCCTGGGCTTTGGGGCTCAAGCCCGAAAGGGATCTCTTCGACTTCATAGTCCCCAGTGCCTTCTTCCTGCGAACCGTCCTCTTCCTCATTCTCACTCATGGGGCCTGCAGGATCAGAGAATTACAGAAAACCCACATTGTGTGGGACTTGGAAGGTCACTGGGTCAGCTATTTGCCATACCTGTCTTCCCTCCCCCCAGCCAGGACCGCTGGCCATGGGCAGGTGCTAAAACCACCCTCAGCTTGGGACAGGCCCGGGCACCTGGTCCCCTGCTCCTTGCCTTCCCCACACCCCTCCAAAGTCCCAGGTATCCATGTCTCCGACCCCCCTACCCCAGACCGCAACCCCTTCTCCTCTGGCTCCCAGATATAATCCTCGGAGGGGCAGTCCTCCCTCACCTTGGGGGGACCTTTCAGAGCTCCCCATTTCGTCTGGACTTTGCATATCCCGGGGCTCCAGGCCCCACGGCGACGCCTCCCGCTCCATCCCCGCCAGCTCCCAGCGCGGCGGTAGTGGCGATGGCGGACGATCCTGACACCCGGCCTGAATGCCCTGAGACCCGAGCCCTCGCCACCCGTCCTCTCCACGCCGCTCAGGAGCCCCGGCTCCCCAACTCCGCCTGTCCCTCGCCCGAGGCCGGACGTCTTGACCCTGGGCCTCCCCGGCCCACCGGCCCCTCCCCGAGCCGGCCCCGCCTCCCCTCCCCAAGGTCTCGGCCTGCCCTGCGGCCCTCTCGGCCGTCAGCGCGTCAAGGCCTCGCAAATGAGGGGCTTCACGACTCGCCCAGACGCCCCCTCACCCACGACTCCCCGCCCGAGACCCCGCCGTCTGGCCGCCCCCCACCCCGAGCCCCGGGTTGGGCTGCGACTGCCCTACTCCCTCCCCCAGCACAGGAAGTGTCCGTCCGCGGCCAGTTCCCCCCGCTGGCTAACGCCGCGGCCTCTCTAGGAGCGGCTGGAGGTGGGAACTCGTTGGCATTAACCCTGGGCTGGATGGCCCCGCGGCGGGGTCGGGGAGACCCGGCGCCCCGGAGCCCGCGGGAGAGGCCGGGCCGGTGGATGCGCTCTGGCCTAGGTGGTCTCCGTGCGCCCTGGGCCTAGTCGGCCGATCTCCCGGGCCCTGTGTCCGTCAGTGCGTGTGGCCAAGGACGAGGCGACAAGCGAGACCAAGGTCAGCGAGAAGGAGCGGCGCCAGCGGGGGCGGCGTCTAGCTCCTCTCCTCTCCCAGGCCTTTGGGTCAGCTCCGGCCGCATCTGGGGAACCCGGGCGAACTCCGCGCCCTGGCCTGACCGATGCTCTGAGCCTGCGACCCCCCGATCGAACTCCAAGCCCGGACCCCAACGCGTCCACCCGCCTACTCCTCCGGCCCCCGCCCCTCTGCGCTCTTCCCATTCCACCCTCCCCCCCAGCAACTCCAGGAGGGCTAGGATCGTTGCCAAGGAGACGGCCCCGCCTCCCGTTTCCAGAGGCCCCGCCCCTCCCTGTCAGGGGGCCGAGCGATTGGCTGGTGGGGCTCGTGCCCTTTGATGGCCCGCCTCCCTCCACGCCGCCGACTGCGGGGCGGGAAGGGTCCGGGGAGTGGGAGGCGCCATTCGGATTGGCGGGAGACGCCGAGGGCGGTTCCACCTCCGCGGTCCGCCAGCAGGGCCTGCGGGACCGAGTGGGAGGTCGGGTTGCCCGTTGTCTGCCTTCCAGCCCGCCCTGTGCTTTTAAAACCTTTCCCGCCCCCCTGTGCCCTCCATTATCTCTGAAGAATGAAAAGCCAAAGGCTCTGGAAGCAGACATGGCCGCCTCCGCACTTTTCCCCCTTCGACCAGGTTCCAGGTGTCTGCCTAGGGGGTCCTCCCAAGACCCCTTTCTTTCCTGCTGCCCTGGTTCCTGGGTTCTCTCTCCCTGGGAGGTGGGGCTCCCCCAAGATGAGAGTTGAGGGCGATTGCACAGAAGGAGCTAGTTCTGAAGGCAGTCCCGCCTGATGTGAATGGAAGAGAATCTAATGAGACTTGGAATGGAGGAAGCCACAGTGGGAAGACTTTATCATCTGATTCTTGTTCTTTTCCCGCTTTTTAGTGGGGACACAACCATACTGTCCTGAAAAGAACTGCAGGAGCCCACTGAGACCAGTGTGGCAAGAGAAGGGTTGGACCCCAGCTGCAAGCAACTGTCTAGGTGGATAGCACCTACGCAAGTGTTAAACTGCTGGGAGAAAAGCAGCTAGTAGCTGGCAGCCATTCTGGGTCTGGTTAATGCCAGATTTGTGTTAAGTATACCAGTGTGCCAACATAGTTGTGTTTTTTTTTTTCTTTTTGAAGATATGTGGAGTGCAGACGTGGGCATGCCAGCAGAGTCTGGACCACTGGGCTCAAAATTCCTTCTATGAGGGAAATTACAGGATCTGTGGTCTGACTGTGGGGTGCATATGTCAGGACTGGGTCTCCCACAGTTGTTGGAGCCTGTGCCCCACTACTTTTTTTTTTTAAGGATTATTTATTTGAAAGGCAAAGTGACAGAAGAGATGAGAGACTAAGAGAGAGACAGATGAATAGAATATTTTCTATCTGCTGGTCATGCCCCAAATAGTCTGAACAGCCGCTGAACCAAGCCAGTCAGGACCCGGGAGCTCCATCTGGGTCTTCTACATGCTGCCTTTCCCGGGCACATTGGCATGAAGCTGCCTGCGATACAGAGGAGCCAGGCCCCGAGCCAGCACTCCAAAATGAGGTGAGTGTGTCCTGGGCAAAAGCCCGTAGCCATGTTGCCAAAAACATGCTCCATGTGCATCCAAAGCAAAGAGGTCTTCCTTTGAAAATGCTGTGTTGAAAAGGCAAGTCTTAACTTCTATGGGTCATCAACATGCGTATGTGTTCTGACCCTAAAAAGATACCACAAACATTCCTGAGATTTCTGTGGTTCTTTGGAACCATCAAGTCTCACTTTTATTTCAGTTGGCCTGGACAAGCTAGGGATGTGCCAGGTAGCCATGGCCTTAACATCTCATTCCATCTGGTACAAACAAGCATTCTTCCCAAAGAACCAAGAAAAACCCAAACCTTCTTCCTGTTTGTAAACTGCTTCTGAGTTGAGTCTTCCAGACTTTTGGGTTAGCTGTATCCCTCACAACCAAGGAGGAGTTGGGGTGTAGCCTGGACTTTGGTTGGGTCATGGCAGAGAAGTCGGATCTGTTCCAAGGCCCCGAGCAAGTCTCCCAGACTTCAAAGCACCCATGCACCTCCCAGGAGCCATGATGGCTCCTTTAATTGAAGGCCAAGGGCAGGCTGCAGTCCTGGGCTTGGAGTCTGAGCTGAGAACTGGTGTTGCAAGCCTCAAGTGCCACTCTGGGTGATGGACAGAGTTGAGGGCTGAAGCGACAGAGCAGGAATTTAAAAGCTGGTTTAACTCTTTGCACCCTGTTTTCCCCTTGTGATAAGGTGGCATCCCAGCCAAACTCAAGGCCGGAGGCCTAAGCATGGACAGATTTGAAGACCTTGGCATGGAGTCAGCTCCTGATGTCACCTGTGTTGTCTCTGCCACCAGAGTTTTTCCCTCTTTTCTCTACAAGCTTCTCTGGGTTGACAATACCTCCTGAAGGTGGGACAGGACACAGGGCTGGGATAGATGCATAGGAAGGAATCACGCACAGGTCTGGCTGGGACCTGGTTCCTGCTACTTCCAAGGGGAAGTGAGGTGCCAGCCAGCAGCAGGCAGCCATCTGCCACAGCCCACTGCTGACATCAGCTGGCCAAGGTTGGATCCTGCCCACAAAGGAATGGATGGCAGATGGATCATGGGACCTGGGCTGGTGCAGTGCCATTGCAAGCTAATCTTCTACCTATGGTGCCAAGCATCCTGTATGGGGTGCTGGGTCCCTGTCCTGGCTATTCCACTTCTGATCCAGTTCCCCGCTCATGCACCTGGGAAAGCAGAGGAAGATGGTCCAAGTGCTTGGGCCCCTGAACTCACATGGGAGACCTGGATGAAGCTCCTGGTTTCAGACCGGTCAGCTCCAGCCATTGCAACCATTTATGGAATAAATCAGCAGATGGATGGATGATCTGTCTTTCCCTCTCTCTCTTTCAAATAAAAATAAATAAATATTTTTTTAAAAAAAGAGGACCCCAGAGTGCAAGGAAGGGACTTGGGGACACAAACATGTGACCCCTTTGGCTACAGATCTAACCTCACACTCCTGCCTGGCGGGGCCCTGATGCTGGTGACGGTGGCCATGGAGAGCAGAACTCACACTCTGCCTGTGCTCACGCGCTCCTAGCCATGGGTCTAACGTGGGGTGCTATGGCAAATCCACCTGGTACCTAGCCTCTGCTAATGCCCAGGAAGGGATATCAGTGAGGCACTCAGGAGCAGTGCAAGGATGGCAGCAGTTGCCAACAACCCTGATGTTGCACTTGTGGGTGACTGTGGGCAGGTGGCAGTTCCTGGTTCCCAGCTAACACAGGACAGAAACACTCAACCTTTGACTCAGGGGAGACACAACCCTCCTGGCCGTGTCCAAGATGGCTGAGGGGGAATGGACCATGGGCTCTCAAGGCAGCCCCGAGGATGAGGAGAGGGCTCCGTGGGCCTTGCCCTTGGAAAGCAGCGAGCAGCCTGGTGCCAGAGCCTAGCCCGTGTTCCATTTGGTTCAGGACTGAGACAAGACCTGCTGGGGACGTCCTCCTCATCTTTACTCTGGAGGAGCCGGTGAACAGGACTGGGCGAGCAGAAAATACAACAGGAGAACCAACACACAGTCCGCATTTACTTCTCTCCTGCAGCTGCTCACAGATTCCCATGTTCCCAAACGCCATTACCATGGTCTAAAACTATGTGACCACAGGTCAGGTGAGTGGAAAATGCCAGAAGGCCGGCTGTGACAGTGGCTTGGGCTTGACACATACCAATGTTTGGCCAGAGCTGAGACAAAACAGTAGGGAGGGGAGGGGTCCCCTGGCTCCAGCTCCTGCCTTGTTGTTGGAGGGCAGGGGGTTGCTGTTCAGGCTCCCCTCCCCCTCAGTTCATTGTAGGGTTTGTGGTTGAGATGTGGATCTTTGAGTTTTTCCAGAGAAGCTAGAAACCAATTTTTGTTTGAAATACCCAACTTGTAATCTTAACCACTCATTCCTAACAACTTAAAACTGCTGCATGGGGCACAATAAATACATGAATAAATAAGGCAGCCAAAGGCCGGGGTCGGCACCTGGCCACTCGAGTGTCCGCTATGCAGTGAAGATAACAGTAACAAATGGGCTTCAATGCTCTGAACCCTCGGGTACTGATGCGACCTTTCTCCCCAGTCCCAGATGGGGGCTGCTGGGGTGGGAGAGCACGAGGGGACTGTTTCTAGTGTTTGCAACACGGAGGAGCAAGCTGCTAGCAGAGGAAGCCAACAGGGGTCAAAGCCAACCTCAGTCCCACCCTTTCCAGGTCTAGCTCGGGCCAGGGATCAAGTGAGCTCCTAGGAGGCCCCAGAGTCTTCCTGGGACCCCAGTCAACGTCTGTATCATCTCTCTCAAGCCTTGTCCCACTGGAGGCCCTCATTCAGCCACATTCCTGGAAAATCTCTGGGTAGTGCTGGAAGCCCACAGGAGGGTCCAGGTCCCCTGGGCTAGGGGCCAGGCTTGCAGACAGGCCACTGTTGCCCTGGCTCCTGGAGCCCCCAGCTCCGGGCCGATGTACCCACTGGTGCTTGGCCATGGCTGACTTCTGGCCGAAGCACCTGCCGCACTGGGGACAGGGATAGGGGCGCTCGCCGCTGTGGGTCCGCCTGTGGGCTGCCATCTCTGAGCTCTGCCGGAAACAGCGCCCGCAGTCTGGGCACGGGTAGGGCTTCTCGCCGGTGTGAGTGCGCACATGGCGACGGAGGTCTGAAGCGTGGGCAAAGGCACGACCGCAGTCGGGGCAAGGAAAGGGGGTCTCGCCACTGTGCACACGCTGGTGCTGATAGAGCGCGGAGCTCTGGCTGAAGCAGCGGCCGCAGTCAGCGCAGCGGTACGGCTTCTCGCCGGTGTGCACCCGCACGTGGGTGGTGAGGGCCGAGCGCTGCGTGAAGGCACGGCCGCACTCCGGGCAGCGGTGGGGCCGCTCGCCACGGTGGATGGCCCGGTGTTTGCTCAGGGAGGACGCCTGGCCGAAGCCCTTACCGCAGTCAGGGCAGAGGAAGGGCTTCTCGCCCGTATGCGTGTACAGGTGTTCCACAAGCGTGGAGCGCCACGCAAAGCTCTTCCCACACAAGTAGCAGCCATGCCGCTGGTCTGCTCGGGGGACAAGGGGGTGGGCACAGAGCGGCGGGCGGCCCCTGCGTGGCACTTTTGCTGGCTTCTGCAGGCCAGAAGGCAGCCTAGTAGAAGCCACCCGGGCAGTGGGTGGCAGCGCAGGAGGGTCCATGGCAAGGGCCTTCTCCAGGACTGCAGTCCGTTCTCCTCCTCTGTCGTCCTTGTTTCTCGAATTTTCTGGGAGATAAAGGGAGAGAGCTCAGGCTCTCATTCATGGGTACCCCAGGGGCTGCCCTGAGAGCTGGGGGTGGAGAGGAAGGAGCTGGCTTTGGAGGAGAGCTGGTAAGAGGTGGCATCCCAGTTGGACCGTGACTAGGGGCTTGAGGCATTCCAGACCAATGGGAGCGCAATGGGGAAGGTCACTGACACTGGGCACTTTGACAAGTTGGAGAGAAGGAAGCCCACAGAACTCGAACTAGAAATCAGGGGCTGGCAGGGGGGCACACAGCTCCTGTGGAGGACTGGGCATCATGACCCTGAACTAAAGGAGAGTCATTCAGAAGGCGCCAGGGTGAGATGCCCAGCAAGCAGCTCACGGGGGCCTAAACATCCTCTACCTCACCTGTGTCCACTTTCGTCGCACCCTGGGCCACCTCCGGGTCCTGGGCATCCAGACTCCACTGTTCCGCCTCTCGCTCCACCCAGCAGATGAGCGCTGGCTTGGCACCTCCACCTCCTGCGGTGGGGGAGGGAGAAGGCAAACCCCATGCCACCACCACTCCCGGACCCACTGTCCGGACCTAGGGGCCTCCCAGTCCACGTGCAGGGCGCAGAAACGCGGCAGGGAAGGGAGGAGGGCAGGGTTGGGAGGTGAGGCTCTCACCGAGCGCGCCCAGGAGGCCGTAGGTCTCCCGCATCACGTCCCGGTACAGGGCCCTCTGCGCGGGCCGCAGGCACTCCCACTCCTCCGGGGAGAAGTACACGGCCACGTCCGCGAAGCTCACAGCTCCGGGCTTTCTGCCCTGGGGACCGGCCCCGTTTGACTCTCGAACGGGGAGCGGGGCCAGGGGCGGCGCCATGGGAACTGCAAGCCTGGTCCACTGACCAAGCGTCTCCCTCGGCCGGGCCGGTCTGTGCGAAGCCTTCGCTACTCGAGTACGCCTCGCAAGCCCGGGCTCCAGTACGGGAGGACGGGCATTAGGGCCGCCAAAGAGCAGGCAATGGTCTCTTGAGGGTCCACTGGAGTGGATGCAAAGTACCGGCCGCTGGCTTGCCCCTACAAAACCACCACTGGCATGCCTTCATCAAAGATGGCTGCAACGCGGCCGCCCGAACTTTGCTCCTGCGCAGCCGCGCCAGCGACGACGCTATCCGGGGTCTAGGAGGAGCTTTGTCTTAAAGCCCGGACCCAAAATGGCCGCGACGGCTTCAAGTGCCAGGCTGAGGCCAGCTGGGAGCCCCAGGTCTAGGAACACAAGGGAAAGTGGGCGCGAGCTGGGCCTGCTTCTGGCTTTTGTGAATTGGGACGTTAAGCTTCGGCACTGCACGGTTTGTGTAATCAGAGCCCGGGCAGGCGGTCACTCGCTACGTCAACCCCCAGTACCTCAAAAACCGGGTGGAAGGACAACGAGTGAGAACTGGGGCAGCCAACTGGCATGCTTCTAGCTGGAGCACAACAGGGACCCGGGATGGCACACTAGCCTGCCTGCTGCACAGGAGGGACTGGCTCTGTGGTGGGACAGGTGTTGTACCAGCTGCAGGCCAGTATGAAGGCATATGAGACAGGAAGGAGAATTCTGGGTAAGGGACAGCTGCCAGCCTGGCCGTGAGGAATCCCAGCCAGAGGCTCAGCGACTAAGCGTGTGACAGGAGCCAGTGTCCATCCTAAATTACCACAGCTGCGCTCTCCCAAACCTGCCATCTTTTATTTTTATGTTCTTTCATTTCTTTGAGATGTATTTATTTTTATTGGAAATGCAGATCAGATTTATAGAGAGAAGAGACAGAAAGACCTTCCACTTTCATTTTTTTAAAAAAGATTTATTTATTTTTATTACAAAGTCAGATATACAGAGACGAGGAGAGACAGAGAGGAAGATCTTTCGTCCAATGATTCACTCCCAAGTGACCACAACAGCCAGTGCTATGCCGATCCAAAGCCAGGAGCCAGGAACTTCCTCCAGGTCTCCCACATGGGTGCAGGGTCCCAAGCCTTTGGGCCATCCTCAACTGCTTTGTCAGGCCACAAGCAGGGAGTTGGATGGGAAGTGAAGCAACCAGGACACGAACCGGTGTCCTTATGGGATGCTAGCACTTGCAGGTAAAAGATTAGCCAATTGAGTCATCATGCTGGCTCCCATCCAAGCTGTTGTGTTTCTGTCTGTTCGCTAACTTAACCCTCACAATGCTTTAGGGATGAATTTCAGAGAGAGAACTCTCATCTACTGGTTCAGTCCTCCAGACGTTCCCCCTTCATTCCAAGTCTTCCATGTGACAGCAGTTATCCAATGACTGACATCAACATCATCGTTGCTTCCAAGAAGTACATTAGCAGAAAGCTAGATTCAAGAATTGGGACTGGGACTTGAACCCAGACACTCTGATATGAAATGTGACATCTTATCAGACATCAGCTCAAAAGGCTCAGCTCAAGCTGGGTATTCTTACACAACAGGAAAAGCCTGAAGAAGTGACGTGCTGGTCTGATTCTAACTGCTTCCCGTCTAGTTCCTGCTAAGAAGGCAGCAGTTCATGGCTCAAGTGTTTGGGCCCCTGTCATGCATGCGGGAGGCCAAGATGGAATTTCCGGCTGCTGGCTTCAGTCTGACTCAGCCCCACCCATTACAGTCATTTGGAAGAGTGAACCAGTAGATATAGAATAACTGTGTCTCAGGCCCGGCGTGTTAGTTTTGCAGCTGAAGTCCTTGCCTTGCATGTTCCAGAATCCCATATGGGCGCTGGTTCTAATCCCAGCAGCTCCACTTCCCATCCAGCTCCCTGCTCATGACCCGGGAAAGCCATTGAGGATGGCCCAAAGTCTTGGGACCCTGCACCCGCGTGGGAGATCTTGGGTAAGTTCCTGCCTCCTGTCATTAGATCAGCTTAGCTCTGGCTGTTGTGGCCATTTGGGAGTGAACCAGTGGGTAGAAGATTGAAAGGGTTAATTATGAAGCTGACTGTACTCCTGGAAGTCTGGAATCTGCAAAAAGACACCTGCTTCCTGTTACAAGCAAAGCTGCTGCTTCCTGAAACACCAGAAGTCAGACAGGAGATAGAGTCTTGGAGTTTTTAGATTTACAGGAAAGACAGCTACCTCCGAGGCATGCTGTTTTATTACTGTCTACATTGAAGTGATACATTGTAAATTCCTATTGCATGCTTTTTGTTTTGTGTCACTGTTAGCCCCTAATCATGTACGTTCTCACTGTCTTGTAGCTTTTTATTCTTTTACCAAAGCAAGAGGTTGCCCCTTGGACCAGAAATTAAAATCATCTCACTCGCTGTCAGGACACAGTCCCTGCAGGTGAGCACAAGAACCACCGCTGGGAGCAGCCCAAACTAAACCAGTTTGGTACCCACTGTTGTATGTGTGGGTCAGGTCTGGGGGCAAGCCAGACTGAGCTAGTTGATAACACCCACTGGCAGAGCTGAGAACCAGGACTGGGTGTAGGCAGGTCAGGTTGGGCCACAACACCAGCCACTTCACATTACGGTCAGGACTGGGTACTGGCTCAGCTGAGCTAGGCAGCAGCACCTGTCAGCATGAGCTGGAACAAGGGGCAGACCAGAGTGAGCCAGGCTTCAGCATCCACTGATGAATGCCAAGGTGAGGCAAGCTATGCCAGTCTGAGCTGCAGCTCCCACCAGCACATATAAGACCCAGGAGGGGGACGCAAGCACAGTAGGGGAGCCTCAGGAATTCCCTTGCTGGACCATTGCTCCAGCTGGTGAATATGAGAGCTATTGGGGGCAGACCAGGCTGGGCAGAACTACAAAGTTCATCGGCCTGCATATTTAGAGGGAGAGTCAGGCTGAGCTAAATGATCACATCTAGTTGTACATGCATAAGTCAGAGTAAGTGCAGGCTGATCAGGCTTTGCTGCAGCATCAGCTAGCCGGTGCTGGGACTAGGGGCAAGTGCTGTCAGGCTAAACCACAGAGCGAACTGGAAAGTGCAAGATCCAGGACTAGGAGTGGGTCTGGTAGGGAAACTATGGACATTCCTCTGATGGGCTGCAGCTCCCACTGAGCATGAGAAACAAGGCTGGGGGGTTGGCCTGGCTGGACAGACAGTGACACCCAACCAGCATGAGTGTGGGCTGGACAGTGCAATCAGCTGTACTGAACTAGGCTCCGGTGTCCATTGATGTATGCATCAATGCAGGACAGGCTGGAGCAGGACAGACTGGAGCGATCCGTTGCACATACTGGCATGTGAAGGAAATGGGGCTGGTGGTGAGCCTAGTAGGGGTTGCTGAGGGAGCCCCTCAACTGGATCACTTTATTCAAAACTCCAACTACAATGAAAATCACAGGATCTTGGAGTGCATGTGTCAAGACTGGCTCTCCACAGTTGCTGGGGCCTGTGCAGTGGATGGTGTGCCCAGATGCTCATGGAGGACATGACAGTCAGTTCATTGGCCTAGTACGGGAACTCTGGACATTCTTCTGCTGGACTGCTGCTTCCACTGGGAGTACCCGGAGTTCCTCTGACCCTCCCCACCCTAATTAGGGGCCCACATGGATGTGCATCCCTCTCAGCTATGTAAGCAATATTAAAAATAAGATTTTTTTAAAAAGATGTATTTATTTTTATTGGAAAGTCAGAGAAGAAAATCTTCCATCTGATGATTTACTCCCCGGGTGGCCACAACAGCTGAATCTGAGCCAATCTGAAGCCAGGAGCCTCCTCTGGGTCTCCCAAATGGGTATAGGATCCCAAAGTGTTTTTTATTTGAAAGGGATAAAGAGAGGACGAGCAAAAGAGGAATTGTTTTTTAAGACTTATTTGCATTTTTATTGGAAAGTCAGTTATACAGAAGAGAAACAGAAGATCTTCTATCCAATAATTTATTCTCCAAGTCACCACAACATTGGGCTAGAGCTGAGCCAATCCGAAGCCTGGAGCAAGGAATCTTCTCCAGGTCTCCCACGTGGGTACAGGGTTCCAAGGCTTTGGGCCATCCTTGACTGCTTTCCCAGGTCACAGAGAGCTGGATGAGAAGTGGAGCCGCCAAGATTAGAACCGGCACCCATATGGGATCCTGGTGCGTTCAAGGCAAGGACTTGAGCCACTAGGCCACCACACTAGGTCTAAGAGAAATCTTCTATCTGCTGGTTTACTCCCCAAACGGCCCCACCAGCCAGGACTGGGCCAGGCTTATGCTAAGAACTTCATTCACATGCATACTGGAGTCTAAGCACTTGGGCCATCCTCCACTGCTTTCCCAGGGGTATTCAAAAGAAGCTGGACTGGAAGCTGCTGGGGCTCAAACTGACGCCCATATGGGACACTGGCGCTGAGATAGGGGACATGTGCACCATAGTTCACCCATCTAACAGCTATTCACTGCACGCTCACTACAGCAGATAGATGTCCTCATGGTCACAGCTTGGGGTGGACATGACTTCCCTTTACGGATGAGGGAGCTGAGACTGGGAGGAGAGTGGATATTTAACTCACCAAGGACCAGATGCCAAGCCCAGGGCTGGGGACCTGAGCACCTGCGCTCTGCCCGCCCACCCCCTTGCTCTGCCTCCCTGGGCTCCCTGCCAGGGACCAGTCCTGCCCAACGTGCACCAAGCCTTGCTCTGCCTCAGCTGGCAGCTCAACAAGTGATGCTTCGTGATTTAAAGACTGGGGCTGGAACCATGGTGTAGCAGGTTTAACCACCATCTACAATGCCAGCATCCCATATGTGCACCAGTTCAAGTCCCGGAGGTTCCATTTTGGATCCAGCTAACACGCCTGAGAAAATGGTGAAAAATGGCCTAACTGCTGGGGCCCCTGCCACCCATGGGGGCCATCTGGGGGAAACTCCTGGCTTTGGAAGATCTTTATCTCATCTTCTCTCATTGTAACTAAATCTCTCAAAGAAAAATAAATAAATTAAAAAAAAAAAAAGCACCTGCTAAACAGTGACATTTCCAGAAATTTTCAGGGTTTTTTTTTTTTTTGGTTGTTTTTTTTTTTTTTTTTTACAAAAGTGGTGGGGAACAGGGTGTCAGGCTTGTTTGGATGTTTACAGGCACTTTTCTGTTTCACAAGCTTGGAAATGAGATATCCTTGAAAGCAAGCTCCAAGGATGCATCTTCGTTCCCAAGTCCTCAACTCTGAGGGTCAGCCACTGGGGCTCAAGTTCAACCCCAGGTGCAGGGTGGTGCGGGGAGGAGGGGGAGCCCCTCACCCACACTCCTCAAAGATGTCCGGGTAGTGCCTGAAGAGCACAGGCGGGTCCCGATCCCCACGCACCGGGGCCCGCGGCACCGCGCGGATACCAGGCCGCCGGCCCCGCCGGCCCCCAGAGCAGGAGCGGTGGATCCACTGGTGCGCTTCCATGGCGAACTTCCTCTTGAAGCGCATGCCGCACTCAGGGCAGGGGAAGGGCCGCTCGCCCGAGTGCATGCGCCGGTGGCTGACCAGCAGCGATGGGTAGGTGAAGAGGCGGCCGCAGTCCGTGCACACGTGCCGCCGCCGGCTGGCCTGGGCGTCCCTGGCCGTGGGGTCCCAGGCAGCTTTGGCAGGCGGCTGCTCCTTGGCCATGGCTTTGTTAGTGAGCGGCTCCGGGCTGGCGGGAAGTGGCCCAGCCTTCCCTGGCGAGGCTGCAGCTCCTGGGATTCCCAGCGCTTCTTGGGGTTCTTCCTTCTGCTTGCTTGGGGTGTGTCCTGGGAAGTGCAGGGATTAAGCTATATTTCAAACAACTCTGGGAGGAACCAAGCTTAAGCAACAGCGGGGTGTTTTTTGTTTGTTTATTGCAAAGTTAGGTATACAGAGAGGAAAATCCTCTATCCGATGGAAGGTCTTCCATGTGCTGGTTCACTCCCAAGTGACCGCATGGCTGGTGCTGGTCTGATCCAAAGCCAGGACCCAGGAACCTCCTCCAGGTCTCCCACGCCAGTGCAGGGTCCCAAGGTTTTGGGCCATCCTTGACTGCTTTCCCAGGCCACAAGCAGGGAGTTGGATGCTGGGATTAGAACCAGTGCCCATATGGGATCCTGGCGCGTTCAAGGCGAGAACTTAAGTTCCTAGGCCACCACCACGCTGGGCCCAGTGGAGTGTTTTCTGAATGGGAATGGGGGACTGAGTATGGCTTTCTGATTTCTGAAGGTTGTTGGGAAGTTGGGATGCTGGAATGCCCTTTAAGCATGTCATTATTGGTCGAAAAGCAGTAGCTATAGAGCTGGTGCGATGGCTTAATTAGCTAATCCTCTGACTGCAAGCACCAACATCTCATATGGGTATCTGTTCATGTCCCAGCTGCCCCAGTTCCTATCCAGCTCCCTGTTAGTGGCCTGGGAAAGCAGTCGAGGATGGCCCAAAGACTTGGGGATCCTGTACCCACGTGGGAGCTCCTGACTCCTGGCTTTGGATCCACTCAGCTTTGGCTGTTGCAGCCATTTGGGGAGTGAACCCACAGATAAAGATCTTTCTCCCGTCTGTAAATCTGCCTTTCCAATTAAAAACAAAAACAAAAACAAAAACAAACCACTAAACTATGATGAGTGTGATAAGTGAGGAATTGTCCACTTTTTTTTTTTTTTTGGAAGGGTTTTCCGTCAGGATGTAACTCATTGTTTATGGTTGCGGGATGGTCCGCCCCCCTCCGCTACCACCCCCTGACAAACCAGGGTTGCAGAACAACACCTGAGCCAAATCCCTCACCTCTTAGGGCTCCACCCAGGCGTGCCCCCTCCTCGGGATCCTGGGCGGCGGGGCTCCAAGCCTCACTCCCCTGTTCCATCCAAGAGATGAGGGCTGGTTTGGGGCCCGGGACTCCTGGGAGAGAGACAGGGATCTCAGTGCCTCCCCGCCGAGAGGCGCTCCTGGGCAGGTGCGCCCCCCTCCCCTACCAGGATGCGGGGCACCTGCTCAGCTCTGACAACTCCACCTGGACAGGATGTGCAGCGCTCCCGCCTGAAGGCAGCCGTGGCGGGGTGAGCAGCCTCCCGAGGGGGTACCCGAAGCCCTGGGAGTCGGAGAAGGCTGGTGCTGGAGGTGGAATAGTGCGCGGGTCGGGGGCCTGCCTCGATCAAGAACCCCGGGGAGGGAGGAGGAGGAGGAAGGGAGGGGCTCGGACCCGGGGCTCTCACCGAGCGCGCCCAGGTGGCCGTAGGTCTCCCGCATCACGTCCCGGTACAGGGCCCTCTGCGCGGGCCGCAGGCACCCCCACTCCTCCGGGGAGAAGTACACGGCCACGTCCGCGAACCGCACGGCTCCGGGCTTCCGGCCACCAGGCCGCGTCTCCCCCGGTCTCAGCGCCAGAAGCGGGGCTGGGGGCGGCACCATGGGGCCGAGCAGCGGCCGCCTGTTCCCCGGGACTTCGCTTTCGTCGGCCACCTGGAAGCACGGCGGGGGTCCGTGGCCCGCCCAGCCTTGGCGTCGGAACCGAAAGAGTAGGGGCTGCCAGGGATTCAGGGATTCTGAGGGAGACAAATAAAAACTCCTGGGTGTTTATTCACTTCTAGACACCAGGGTTAGGGGACCCGGAAGGTGCCTTCAAAAAATATGGCGACAATCTGGCTCCAATTGCCATTGATTGCCCGCCAGCCCTCTCGAACATATCAAACATGGCGCCTAGGTGGCTTCTCTCGCCTCATTTCTCCACTTGCCCTTAAATACAATGGCCGCTTCAGGCCCTTTTTGAGGGACAAAGTTGGGAAGAGACGGCTGGGACATCCACGAGATCCTTTTGCCTTTAAGAAAGATGGACGAGCCCGTAGCTTCAAATCCTTCCTTTACTCGCCAACACGGCGGCTGATGATTGGTTGCAGCGGTATGAAGAAGCTATGCTGTGGTTGGCTTTCGACCGGCGGAGTGTTTGAAAGGACCAGGGGCGGCCCCTCAGCCCCCCTGAACCCTAGAATCATAGAAGACCTTGGGGTCCCAGCAGCAGCTGGGCCTGGCGAGGACAGGATGTGATCCCGGCCTCGCGGGGAGACGCCCAGTCCCTGCAAAACCTGGGTAGAGTATGGCGAAAGCACGCACCACCCCTGCACCTGCTCCGCGGGTGGAGAAACTGCCGAGGTGAGCCTGGAATCTCCCGGTACGCCACGCTGTCCATTTTCATGAATTGATTCATATCTGTGGGTTTTCAAAACAAAAACCTGAAGCGTGTCAAGAAAAGGGCATTCCCCTCTATTCTTCTTTCTGATCCCTAGATGCAAATACTTGTGACTCAATCTGGGATATGTTGTCCATACGGAACATGTATACAGATCTCCTCCCCCATACACAGGCTGGGAAGCAGGGCTGCTGGGATTAGAACTGGCACCCATATGGGATCCCAGTGCATGCAAGGCAAGGACTTTAGCCACTAGGCTATTGCACCAGGCCCCCATGGGACTTTTAAAAACACCTGACTTGGTGTATATTTCAAGTGCTTAACATGGTGCTTAGTACCTCCTCGAAGCTCAAGGGATGGCTCTCAATGGTATTTCAGGAGACTAAGTACAGACAGAAATCAGAAGTGGGTATAGAGAATGAGTTTCAAGAAATTTAGTTGAAGATAGGAGACAGGGACAGAGGCCAGAGGGAGAATTCATGGTTAACTGCTTTAAAGATGGATCTGAGCATGTTCCAAGTGTGTGTCTGGGAGATAGACGAGGGACTTAGAAAAAGAGAAGAGGAAGCGAATGGGGAGAAGCCCCCAAGGAGTGGAGGTGGGGTAGTCCGGCACAGGCGTGCTGCTGGACACTGAGCCAGAGGGTCTCCAGGGAGAAGAGGACCAGCCGCTGAGACAAGTGGCCTCCCTGGTGACCCTGGAGCCTGGGGGCAGGAGGAACCTCAGAAGCAGGTGACTGACTGCTGGGTTTGCTTGTGGACATGGAGCCAGGACAGCCCAGTGTCAGGGCAGGGAGTGTGGCCGTGGTGGCTGGGCAAGCAGCACTGGGCTGCCTGCTATACAGAACTTCTCTTGGTTCTAACAGCCTTCTGCAGAAATCAGGTCTTGTCAGCAGGTGCTGGGTGGTCTACCCGAATACCAGGCCAGGATCACAGCTGGAATAGCCTTTCAGACCCTGGCACCTTGGGCAGCCTGGGGAAGTTCTCTCTCCTCTTTGTGGTCTAGACTATAGAACCAAACCCCACCACATCAGGCCCTCACCTTGTGAGCTACAATCTAGGCCCTTGGGAAATGGTGTGTGAAGATTAGCCAAGGATGAAGAGTAAATAAGCTGGTTCCAACTGCAGGCGGGAATCCTGGACCCAAGGGCTGGACTGCCACCAAGCAGCAATCCTCTTGCTTTCCATCTTTTACGAGGAACACAATTCATTCACCAGATCTTTTAATGAGACCTGATTCCGGCAAGTGGTGGTAGTGACAGAGGGTGGCTCATTCAGGGTTGCAATGCAGCTTGCCTGCACCGAGGATATTACACACCACCAAATATGCCAACGGCTCCCTCACTCAGGCTGGGATCAGGAAGGTTAGAGGAAATAGCCGTGGGGTTAAGATGATGATGCCCCCACCCCCACCTTCTAGGATGTGAGATGAGCCTAGAAATGTGGAGAAATTCCAGTTCGGTAAAGCTGCCCTCCACAAAGTAACAGAGCTCATTCACATTTCTTAAAGGTTTATTTGCTTGTTTGAAAAGCAGAGTGTCAGAATTTCTTCCACTGGTTCACCCCTCCAAACGGCCATAACAGCCAGGAGCCAGGAACTCCATCTGGGTCTCTCACCTGGGTGACAGGGGCCAGTGTAGCTGACAAGCTGCCGGTGCCGGTGTAGCTTCACCCACAGCATCATGCAGCAGCCCCCCGCTCACATCGGACTTAGCACGCTGAACCGAGCACTTGCCCACTTGTTTATCAAGGCTGCTGCTGCATGGCCCCTGGGCACTCCTGGACCGTAAAGCCTCCACTCGCCTGCTTCAGGATCCTCTTGGTGTCTAGCCCCCTCCCTCACTGCCACTCTTGAGTAGCTTCACCTGGTTTTTATTCCAAAGCAGGCAGAAGTCACCCCCAGCTCCCAGGGCTTTTCCAGCCGCTGCTGAGCCCAGCAGAGCACAGTCCAATTCCATCCCAATTTCACTGCCCCATTCCTGTGCGACCTGGACAGGGGACATGGTGCAGCCAGTGCCTGTTTGGAGGGAGCCATCATGGGTGGGAACTGGAACCATGTATGGAAGGAAGGAATAACCAAATTCATATTTAAACTGAATATTGGGGGTGGGAGGGGGCGGTGTGTGGAGGGTGCAATGTAACTGTAGTTATCCAAAAGGCCACCATGTTCACAAGGAATGAGAGAAGTTCTGAGCAAAGGAACACGTGGTGTTTGACAGCTCCGGGTCAGCCTCATCCCACGAATGAAAGGACCTCTCTGGGAGGTTTCCTGGCTGGAGGCATGAGCTCACGGGGTGGGGTGGGGAGCCAAGCAGGGCCCCCCTAGAAGCAGCATACTGCCTGCAAGCTTTTGGACACATGGGCTACAAAAGCAGGCAGCCTCTGGGATCCAGGGGCAATGATGCCCATACGCATAAGCCTCTATAGGATCGGGCAGCTGGGAGACCTTCAGGCACATGATCTCGCTTCTCCTAATGGGCCTCTTCCGAACACACCCAGTAAGGCAGCCGGGGCAGCGGGATGAGCCCAAGTTCCCATTTGTGGAACAGGAAACGGGCTTCTCCTTGTGCCTCGGCTAGGGTTCTTCCGCCGGTACTGGGCCTCACGGGGAAACACACCCGGGGCAGTCGGTCCCCTCTGTGCCCCCACCCTCAGCTACAGGGCATTGTCCCTTTGGCCATGCCCGCCTAGGGCAGATCTTGGGCTACAGACCGGGACCTTGGTGCTGCATTTATGCACGGCCAGGGACCACCTCTGGCGGAAGCACCGGCCGCAGTCAAGGCAGGGAAACGGTTTTTCTCCGGTGTGCAGCAACTGGTGCTGCGCCAGGTGGCTCCACTGTGCGAAGCGCTTGGCGCACAGGTCGCAGGCGTAGGGCCTCTCGCCCGAGTGCACGCGCCGGTGGCTGGCCAGCAGCGATGGGTAGGCGAAGCGGCGGCCGCAGTCGTCACAGGCGTGCAGCTTCTCCTCCGTGTGCGTGCTGCGATGGATGGCGAGCGAGCCGCTGCGCCGGAAGGCACGTCCGCAGTCCGGGCAGGGGTAGGGCTTCTCGCCCGTGTGCAGGAGTTGGTGCTGGAGCAGGGTGCTGCGCTGCGAGAAGCGGGCCTCACAGTGCTCGCAAGCGTACGGCCGCTCGCCAGAATGCACGCGCCGGTGGCTGACCAGGCGTGAGGATGACGAGAAGCGGCGCTCGCAGTCCGGGCATGGGTACGGCTTCTCACCGGTGTGGATGCGCTGGTGAATGACCAGGGCTGTGCGCTGGCGGAAGCGGCGGTTACATTCCAGGCAGGTGTAGGGCTTCTCACCCGTATGTGTGCGCTGGTGGATGGCCAGCAGCGATGGGTAGGCGAAGCGGCGGCCGCAGCTCGGGCACTGGTGGGGCTTCTCGCCCGTGTGCGTGGTCCGGTGATTGGCCAGGGAGCGGCTCCGGCGGAAGCAGCGGCCGCAGTCCGGGCAGTGGTAGGGCTTCTCACCCGTGTGGATGACCTGGTGCTGGGACAGGTTCTTGCGCTGGGAGAAACGTTTCCCGCACTGGTCACAGACATAAGGGCACTCGCCTGAGTGTGCCCGCCGATGACTGACCAGCAGCGATGGGTAGGAGAAGCGGCGACCACAGTCTGGGCAAGGATAAGGCTTTTTCAGATTCTGGGCGCATTTGTGGCTCTCCAGGGCTGGTCGATCCGGGAAAGTGCAGCCACAGTCGGGGCAGATGGGGCCCCCAGACGTCTGTCTGGGGATGAGCCGGGGTTTGCTGGGCCGTCGCCCTCGCTTGCCCTTTCGGGGGGCTTCCTTGGGTGGGATTTCTTCCTTCTCCCGGGCCTTCTTTCTGGCTCTGGTTTCTACAGGGACACAGGGGACGAGTTAATGTAACAGCAACTGGGATCCTACGCTGGCAGCCCCTGGGAATACTGGTTCAAGTCCCGGCAGTTCCACTTCCCATCCAGCTCCCTATTAATGTTTCTGGGAAAGCAGCAGCAGATGGCCCATCTATTCGTGCACCTGCCACTCTAGTGAGAGACGCGAATGGAGTTCCAACTTCCTTACATCCATCTGGAGAGTGAGCCAGCGGATAGAGGAACTCTATTTCTCCCTCTGCCCTCACCCTGTGTCTAGCTAGGTAGAACTCACATTCATTCATTTCTTCCAGTGTTGTTCAACTCATTAGAAAGGCAAAGACAGAGACTGACAGAAAGATCACCCATCTGGCCGGGGTCGGAGGTGGGGCATGCTGCGCCATGCCGAAGCTGGGAGCTAGGAAATCAGTCTGTGTCTCCCACATGGGGAAAGGAGGACTCCACCACTCAAGCCATCGCCTGCTGCCTCCCAGGGTGCATCTTGGCAGGAAGTAGGACTCAAGAGGGGGCAGGCACTGTGACCGGGGATATAGGTATTGAAACTGCTGCCCAAAACCCACCCTTCCTCCAGTTTTTTTTGTTCAGTGTGTAATGCAAGATTTGTTAAAGATAGTAGAGATGGAAACCTCCTGTGCAACATCAGGAGGGGAAACACCCCTCTTTCCAGCTTTTTTTTTTTAGATTTATTTATTTATTTATTGGAAAGTCAGATATACAAAGAGGAAGACCTTCCATCTGTTGATTCACTCCCCAAGTGGCTGCAACAGTCAGAGCTGAGCCAATCGGAAGCCAGGAGCCTCTTCTGGGTACCCCCCCCCCCCCCCGGGCAGGTACAGGGTCCCAAGGCTTTGGGTTGTCCTTAACTGTCTTCCCAGGCCACAGGCAGGGGACTGGATGAGAAGTGGGGCCACTGGAATTAAACCCGGCACGTTCTATGAGATCCCAGCATGTTCAAAGCAAGGACTTTAGCTCCCAGGCCACCATACCAGACCCTGCAGTATTTTTTAAATACAATTCTTCCTTTGCCTTTCTTACATAACACATTCACACTTCAGATATTCTTTACTGCACCTGCATTTTTCTCGGTTAATCTAAAGCTCATTCCATCAGCATGCATCCTTACTCTATTTCAGAGCTGCATGGATTTCCATGGATGAGTCAGTTTATTTAATGTAGGTCTTTTTGTTCTTTTCGAAGGCAGTTACAGATAGAGAGGGAGCGAAAGCTCTCCTATCGGCTAGTTCACTCCCCGTGGCCTGATGGCTGGAGTTGGTTGGAAACAGGGAGCCAGGAGCTTCTCCCAGGTATCCCATGTGGGCACAGAAGCTCAAGGACTTAGGCCATCTGCTGCTTCCCCAGATACATTGGCAGGGATGGATCATAAGTGCAACAGTCAGGCCTCGAACCAGTGTCCTCATGGGATGCCTGTGCCACAGGAGGCGGCTTAATCTGCAGCACAATGGTGTCAGCCCTTAATTTAGCTGAGTTGTAAAAGGTGAGTTAACATAAGGGAATGTTAGTGAGACTGCAGTGATAGACAAGCAAAGGAGGCAGCGTGCAAAGCCCAGAGGCTCCAAGTAGTATACAGTGGTACGGCAGGAGGTGGGAACGAGGGGTGAGCTGCCAGTGCCTGGGGCACGCATCCTTGGAAGTCAGCAGCTCTGCAGGTGGACTTAGGAAGCCTGTGGCTGGATCCTATGCCAGTTTGGGACTCAGCAGGTTGGGGGCAGAGCAAGGTTTTTGGTTTGAATGCTATAAGCATGTTTACAGCCCGTGGAAATATGTTATCCAGTGGTTCTCAAACCTGGATATACACCCATATCAACCAGTGTATAAAGAGGAAAAAAAGGGGGGGGGCAACGCAGTAGCCTTGTCGCTATAGTTCTCACTTTGCATGCACTAGGATCCCATGTGGGTGCTGGTTCATGTCCCAGCTACTCCACTTCCCATCCAGCTCCCTGCTTCTGGCCTGGGAAAGCAGTAAGAGATGGCCCAAAGCCTTGGGACCCTGTACCCATGGGGGAAACCCAGAAGCAGCTCCTGGTTCCAGACTTTGGACTGGCACAGCTCCAGTTGTTGTGGCCACTTGGGGAGTGAACCATTGGATGGGAGATCTTCCTCTCTGTCTCTCCTTCTCTGTGTAAATCTGACTTTCCAGTAAAAAATCTTTATAAAAGAAAAAGAAAAAAAATCCAAGTTCCTACACATCCAATTTCCTGGTTTCAGTTTCCTGAGTTAGATAAAACAGACAGTCACTTGCCAACCTTAGCAAAAATTAATTAATTAATTAAAAAATAAAACATCTAACTGGGGGGTTGGGACTGTGGCATAGCAAGTTAAGCCTCCACCTGCATGCTATAAGAGTTGAAATTCTGGCTTTTCCAATTCTGGTCCAGCTCCCTGCTCATGTGCCTGGAAAAGCAGTGGAGCTGGACCAGGTGCTGGGGACTCTGCACCCATGTGGGAGATCTGGAATAAACTATTTGCTCCTAGCTTTGGCCTGGCCCTTGTGACCATTTGGGAGATGAACCAGCAGATGGAGGGTTTTTCTCTCTCCTTTTATCATTCTGTAATTCTATCTTTCAAATAAACAGAGATAAATCTTCAAAAACAACTAACTGGGGACCAACGCCAAGACATAAGGGGCTAAGCCTCCAGTTATTGTGCCAGGATCCCAGATGGTTCCCAGTTCATGTCCCAGCTGCTCCACTTCCCATCCAGCTACCTGCTTGTGGCCTAGGAAAGCAGTGGAGGACGGTTCAAGTCCTTGGGCACCTATACCCAGGTGGCAGACCCTGAAGAAACTCCCAGCTCCTGGTTTGGAATCAGATCAGATCAGTCCCCTGTCATTGTAGCCATTTGGGGAGCAAACCAGATGGAAGATCTCTGTCTCATCTTCTCTCTGTAACTTAGCCTTTCCAATAAAAATAAAATGTCTTAAAAAAAAAAAAAACTGAAGCTTTCTAGTAAGGGAAATAACTTAGAAATGCCCCTGGCCTTAACAAATCCTTCAGGCAACTCCAACCCAGTCAGTTCCATCCACCCCTGCAATGAACCTAGGGCCACCCCGCAGTGGGATGCGCCTCATCAGCGAGGCTGCCCCACTGTCCTTCCCTTGCCAGCCAGCTTGTTACAGGGCAGCCCAGGCCCCTGCCGCCCAGGCAGGCATGTTCTCCACTAACTCCCTTCAACCCAAACTCGAGAAACTCCCAATTCAGTCCAGGCCCAGTGAAAAGGCAACGAGGGGCAAGGAGCACCAATTCATTCGTTCCCACTCCGCCACCAGAGGAGCCCTGCAGATGTTGCTGTTTGCAAATGACAAGGGAGGACTCTTATTTTCTTCTGCTAGCCCAGCCCCGCACCAGCAGACAAGACCTTCAAGGGGGGGAGGGAGAGACAACATGCACAAGGTAACAGGTGCACCGCGTCATGGTCGGGTCGTGGGATTCCTTTAGCCCCACCGAGGAGTCCCGCGGGAAGGTTGCGAGGACGCTGGCAGGTGGGCTGCGGACAGCGCACAAGCTTTTCGCACTCACTTAGCCCTTTCGGGTAGTCCTGCGGGTCTAAGGCGGCCGGTTCCCAGTCCTCAGTATTGCGTTCCAACCAGGAGATGAGGGCTGGTTTAGGACCTGCGCACCCTGGGAAAGGAGATGCCGTCAGAGCCGGCCGGTGTCCTGCAGGGCACATCCCCGCCCCCGCCCCCTGCCCCACGTCGCTCGCAGGTCGGGACCCTCGCTCGACTCCCCGGTCTGCCCCCTACCCGTCCCCCCTGTTTTCCCCCCGCGGAAGCCGAGTGGGCAGGGCCTCACCGAGCGCGCCCAGGTGGCCGTAGGTCTCCCGCATCACGTCCCGGTACAGGGCCCTCTGCGCGGGCCGCAGGCACCCCCACTCCTCCGGGGAGAAGTACACGGCCACGTCCGCGAACTTGAGGGCCCTCGGCCTCCTTCCCCTTCTCCGAGCGCCCTTGGCCTCTCCTGGTCCCGGCCCGGAGAGAGGAGCCAAAGGCGGCGCCATTGGCCCCCCGAGAAGCCCCCGGCGCCACGGCCTCCCCGCCCTCCCTCCCCACCAGTCTCCCACCGGGGCTCGGCTCCCTGGGCGCTAGCGGACCCCGGGATTTAGCAGCCGCCTCCGGCCCAGGACTGAGCGTGGCACCACCCGGAGGCCCGGAGGGAATCGGAATCGCCCGCCTGTGCCGGGCTAACGGAAACCTTTCACTGTTATTCAGGAAACTCCTGCCCTAACTTGAGTGAAAAGCACCGGAAGATGCCTTTGGGGAAAATGGCGGCGCGGCAACTGCACAGCCTTTGCCTGGAACATAGGCGGCTTCCAGCTATCGATTTTATTGACCGGAGCGCCATGCCGGATCCCTAACCTCTTTGCCCTCAAATGTGATGGCGCCGTGATTGTGCTTCACGCCCTCTGCTTTTTGCCCTCCCCACCGCACGCATTCATTGGGCGGTGACCGAAGATGCAGCGTCCTGATTGGGTGGGTGCGAAGGCGGCTTGTTTGAACAGGGCCGGCGGATGCGTCAGGACAGGAAGCAGGACCGTTAGGATGGGTGGACAGCAATGAGCTCCAAGCAGGGATTGGGAAGAAGCTCGCAGCCTATCTCTGAAGGATGGAGGGGTTTGAGCGACAGGGACAGGGATGAGTGACATGACCATTTTGTCCAACTCGGAGCTGAGATTACCTTGGCTGCTTTTTGGTTGGTTGGTTGGTTAGTTGGTGTGTGTGTGTGGCTTTTCTGAGGAGCGTGCGCTTCGAAGGATGGTTAACTTCATAATTTTTTTTTTTTCAGCAGGGAACTTTTTTGGCGGGGGTAGAGTTACAGGGGGATCTTCCACCTGCCGATTCACTCCCGAATGGCCTCAAAGGGCAGAGCTGAGCCAGGTAGTCCATCTGGGTCTTCCACGAGAATGGCAGGGGTCCACCCACTTGGACCATGCCATCTTCTGCTACTTTTCTCTGGCGCATTAGAGGGGAGCTAGATCCGAGGTGGAGCAGCTGAGACTTCAGCCGGTTCTTATACGAAATGCTTGTGTTGCTGCACCACAAAACTGCCCCTTCGTGAGCCTCTGCTGGCGATCACCCTGCATTTACTGATGAAAAATTCTCCAACAAGCCCTCTGAGTTTCAGGATCTCTCTGAATAAGGAGGGGGCAAAGATGGAAGTTTGGGATTGCCAGGGCCTGTTCGCCACCCTGAACTCAGGGTCGTCCCTTTGCCTGCCATGCATTTGCTAAGGTAGAATTCCACGTACATCAAGGATGCTGGCTTTCACCTGGCCAGGTTATTGCGGCTCCTTGGGGGGAGTGAACCATTAGACAGAAGGTCGTCTTCTCTGTCTCTCCTCCTCCCCTGTATATCTGACTTTCCAATGAAAATAAAATCAATTTCAAAAAAAAGTTACAGCCTGCAAAGGTTCTACTTTGTAGACCAGCTGGAATGTGACTTTGGCCTACGCAGTCATTCCTGTAAACCCAGACTTAGACAACAGTGTGAAAAGGTGAGTCTTGGGCCTGGCGCTGGGAGTGAACCAGCAAGTGAAAGATTTACAGAGAAGAGAAGGAGATCTTTCTGTCTGCTGATTCCCTTTGCAACAGCCAGAGCTGAGCCATCCTCGACTGCTTTCCCAGGCCACAGGCAGGGAGCTGGAAGGGAAATGGAGCAGCCAGGAAATGAGCCAGTGCCCACATGGGATTCTGGAGCATGGGAGGCAAGGATTTAGCCAGTAGGCTATGGTGCCAGTCCCTTAAGTGGGATTTTGCTCTCAGACTCATGCAGAAGTTTAAATCCCCAAATTGTAGGTTAATGTAACCATCAGTGCAAGCTTACCTCAGTTCTGGTGTTTAGGAAGTGAGCACACTGGGATTAGGGTATAAGGAAGGGGAGGGTTGTGCCTCTAGATAAATAAGTTGATACTAGAGCAGATCCTTACACATGTCACCCTGAAGGGATGCTCCAAAGAACAGACACGGGTGGGCATTGTGGTGCAGTGGGTAAAGTGACAGCTTGGGATGCCCACATCCTGCATTAGAGATCTGTGTGCAGTCTTGGCCACTCTGCTTGTGATCTGGCAGGCAAAGGGAGGACCCCGAGTTCAGGGTGGTGAAAGCCAAGATTCCCTCACGGAATCCTTACCCTGAGGGAAGAGATCTCTCGGTCCTGGGACCGCCTAGGACTCGGTCACCATGTGGTAGTGGTGACCATGGCCTGAGGCCCAAGCTCCTGGTAGTATGTTCCCTGTAGCAAAATCCTGTTAGCTGAATGAGATCTGACTGTTTTCTCAGCATAGGCTTCACCCAGGCCACACCCAGCCTCTGCTGCTTGCAGCCACTGGGAGCTCCACAGTCCTGGCTTCCAATTGGCCATTTGGGGAGTGAACCAGAGGATGGAAGATCTCTTTCTGTCTCTGTCTCTCTCCTTCTCTTTGTAAATCTGTCTTACAAATAAATAAATCTAAAAAAATAACAACAAAAGCCAGCCTACCAGCGCTTTACAGTTCCCAATCCCCCAGGCATGGTTCCCCACAGCGCTCAGGGGTTGGACTGTCTCCTTAACAGAAACAACCTCTGCGTGCTCACTGATGTCTTGGGTTGGAAACTGAGACGCAGTTGCCAGAGAACAGCGGATGCATGCACGCGAATGGGGCTAGGGAGCCGTTGAAGTCTGTTTGCCAGTATGCTGAGCCGGCAGGTCGGCTAGGTTCTTCCTCCACTCCTTCCATTTTGCTGATTCCCGCAAAGTCTGCAGATTGAGTATGTCCTGGCCACAGAACCAGCTGCGTGCTGACAGGCGGCAGTTATCTGGCAACTAAAACATCTGTTGGAACGTGTGCTTTGCACCAGGTAGGTGGTAATGCTTAGCCCAAGCCTACCTAGCTGCACGCGTGGGGCTGTTTGTGCTAACCGTCTCTAGGGGGTTATTATACACACAGCTCCCACACACTCCTGGGATGGATCAGGCCCTGGCCTCACTCGGGGAAGATATCTCTCCTTTGCTCTGTAAATCTGCCTTAATAATAAATGTCATCAACTCACTTCCTGAATAGAGAAGCTCAAACTCAGTAGTGGGGTGAGGAACTTCCTCTACTGACTCCTTGGAGTGGACTCAGCCCCCTGAATTCAATGCACCCAGCCTAAAATTCCACAGATCCTAACTAGAAGCCCCCTCTGCCAAGCCACTACTCCACAAAGCAATGGCTTAAAAACAAAGTCACGAAGAAAACAAACCCTTCTGGTTCTGTTCCCTCTGTGCTTCCTCCCTTAATGGAAGAAATGAATGGAAGGTGCCCAGATCCCCTCTTGGCGTGATCCACCCGCCTGGGACTCCGGGGGACCAGTCTGGAGCCCTGGCTCCCTCTGGCGGCCGCCGTGGGAGGACACTGCTGGCTGCTCTGTGAAGCTGGGATCCTGTGTGTGCGTCACTGACTTTGCTGTGTACAGTCTAGGTGCCTTGGCTGGAAGCTACTTCAGGAGTGATTACCTGAAAGAGACAGAGCTGAGGCAGTACAGGCTGAGCAAAAATACGATTCCCTTTCCTATGCCCACATTGCTGCTACCTCACTCCATATCATTCGCATGAAAATAGATAGAGAAAAGGTAGTAAACCATTGAGGTTACTTATGAGAGCGAACCAGCAGATGGAAGGAACTCTCCTGTGTAACTGCTTTCCAAGTAAATAGAAACCTGGGGTCAGCATCGTGGCACAGCAGGTAAAGCCAAGGCGTGCGGTGCCCGGCATTCCACAGAGTCTTTTGTCGCAGTCCCAGTAGGTCCACTCTGACCCAGCTCCCTGCTGAAGCACCCACGTGAGAGCCTCGGAAAAAGCTGCTGGTTTCTGCCTGGTCCAGCCCCAGCTGCTGCGACTTGGGAAGGAAACCACCAGCCACAAGACTCCCTGCTTCTCTTTCTCCCTCTTTCTAACTTTACCTTTCAAATTCAAATTAATAATCAGTTTAAAAAAATTAATAAACGGACAGCTTTGGTTTTAGTTTAATTTGGTTTAGTTTATTCGAAAGGCTACTTCACCTCCCAATAGCCGGGTCTCATCCAAGCCCAAGCCAGGAGCCTGGAACTCTCTCTGGAATTCTCTCTGGCTCCCGCGGGGGTAGCAGGAACCTTGCGAGGTACCATCTGCTTCCTCCCAGGAGCCTTGGCACGGAGTGGGATCTGAAGCGCGAACAGTGAGGACTCCAGGCACTGTCCGGGACCGCTCCTAACCTTTCGGTTCGGGAAACGCTTCTTTCCCTCCCTCCCACTCGGGGCGTTTCTGAGCACTGGGGAAACCGCCCATTTTGGAGCTGCAGTCTAAGCTAGGCCCTTACTTAACATGGCGACTCCGGCTTCACCAACTGTTTCCAAAAGCAGTGTGATGTCCCCTCGTTCGCTTAGGCTGGCGAATCTTACTAAATAAGGTGTCCTGCAGAGATTCACTCCTCCTGTCAACCTGGACGACTACAGCCCGCCCCCCGCGACGTGTACGGGAGCGTCCTTCCGCCTCTACTCTCGCACGCCCCTAATAGGAAAATTCCAGCCGAACGTCCAAACAAGACGCAAGGTGATTGGGCTTGGGGGAGTGCGAGAGGAACTTCCGTGGAATACCCGGAATGCTGGTGCTCTGTGAGGCTCGTGGGCCGTAGGGTCTGGGTCTCCCGAGGACAAGCGCGGAGCAAGTGAAGGCTCCGGGGAGACCCTAGGATCCCGAGACTGAGCCATAGCGGCCGTGGGTGCGGTGGAAGGATCCAAAGCCGCCTCTGCGGAACTCGGGGTTCAGGGGCTGCGCCTGGACCCCTTCGACCTAGAATGTGGGAGTCTTGGCTAGGGTGTGGGATCGTTGCATCCCAAACCTGTCTGTGAGCATGGTCCTTAAAATATTTTCCTTCCTTTTTAAAAATTTTTAAAAAGATAAGTTTCTTTTTATTGGAAAGCAGCTATACAGAGAAGAGAGACAGAGAGGAAGATCTTCCGTCAAATGATTCACTCCCCAAGTGGCCGCAACAGCCAGAGCTGAGGTGATCTGAAGCCAGGAACTTCTTCTGGGTCTCCCACATGGTGCAGACTGCTTTCCCAGAGCACAAGTAGGGAGCTGGATGGGAAGCAGGGCCCCGGCATTAGAACCAGCGCCCATATGGGATGCCAGTGTGTCCAAGGTGAGGACTTTAGCCATTAGGCTATTGTGCTGGGCCCCTCTTTCCTTTAAAAAAAAAATTACTTTTATTGTTGTTCACATAGTTGAGAGTCATCTTGGGCCCTTGATGAAGGCATGGAGGGTTGAGGTATGGAGGAAGGTGGGTAGGACAAGTGTTTTCAGCTGTTTTTATTCTCCTGGTCTGCTGGGGTTGTGGGAAGGGGGCCTTTCCTTGCTATCAAACCACATCAGCACCCAGGGATGGGCCACGGTCCTTTAGTGATGCCTTGGGGTAGTTTTGATAGTTCTGAGACGTCAGCAGCTTCCTTGCAC